GCCAGGGCGATAGGAGGGATGGAGAGTTTACAGTGGACTCTCCGGAGGGCGGTTGAAATCCATGAGACAAGTGGGATTATTTACGGCCGATGGGAGAAGAAGTGGTTCTTTCTGGCTTTCATAAATTAAACTCCTTGTCCTGAATGACCTGGGCAGGATTGGGACTTGTCAGGTATTTCAGAAGGAAACAATCAAAGGTTTGTTTAATCCTTGGCAGACAAGCCAGCACAGAGCTATGCTGGCTGGGGAATTCTGGGAGCTGAGGTCCACACCTTGTAAAGTGGCCAAGGTTGAGAAACACTGATTTAGAACGTGGGTCTTTAGCAGCTATGCTTTTGCACGGTGAATCCTTTTGCCTAGAAATTTGGGACAGAAATTAAACAGGCCAGCCAGCTCATATCTTCCTTCCTTCCCATCAGCTAACAACCTGAGTGGCCTTGTGCAGCGAAGGGGAGGCGACGTGTGTCTGTGTGTCTTCCACACCCAGCTCTCATGTTCCAGTTGAACGCCTGGGTATGAGCCGGAAGGAGCGTGCTTGATTTGGATTTACCTGGAAAAACAGAAGTGCCCATTGAGGCAAATTATTAAGAGGGAGAACTCTGTTTCCTCTCCTATCTGGGGTCACGAGTGCAGATCTCTGTGTAAATCAGATCAGCTCCTGTCTTGTTAGGATGCAAGAAATAATTTAAAAGAAGTGGAGTGGAAGTTAATTTTGTGTTTGTTCAGGAAGCATATGGCTTCCAGCTCAATATCCTTCTCAATTTCAGAAATTCAGAAATAACTTCCTTCTCTTAGACTCACTCCTTGCATTCTGGGCTTCTTTTATGAGCCGAAGCTGCTGTTGTTATCGTTGCTATTATTTTTGAACAGCCTTGAGGCTTGTTTCTTGCCTCACCACCACCGCTGATAGGCAAAATGCACCGTCTGTGCAGTTCTGCGTAGATCCACGCCTCCAGTCCAGGTCCCTGGGAGCTGCAGAGTGTGGCCGGGGTGTTGTGGGGGTGGGGGCTCTGGAGCCACCTGGCTCTTTCTGAATTCTCCAGAGCAAGATGGGTCTGCAGCAGGCATGACGAGCGCGCCCTTGTGCACCCAGAAGCTGGACTTTGGGATGAATAAATGGGAGAAGCAACAAGAGGGAGGGAGGAAGAGAAAGAAAGAAAGAAAGAAAGAAAGAAAGAAAGAAAGAAAGAAAGAAAGAAAGAAAGAAAGAAAGAAAGAAAGAAAGAAAAACTTTGGCAGAGGTCCTCCTGGTGCTTTGCCTCCTTCCAGTTGCTTCTGTCTCTTTGTCCTTGTTCTCCTCTGTTCTATCTCCCGCCCCCCTTTTTGCAAGCTGCAAAGTGTTATCTCTACAGATTCCCCACATGCCGTGGGCTGAGAGAGAGGTGGGGGGGGGGAGAGAGGGAGAGAGAGAGAAGGGAAGCAAAGCGAAGCTAAGCCTGGCTTGGGCAAATGTGCCCTGAGTTGAAGGCTGGGGCTTTTGTTTCCTTTCCCTTCCGTCTCCCCCGCTTTTTCAGACTTCATTGTTGCAAGGATGTATTTTCTCTCCAAGCGTGTGGGACTGAAAAGGGAGTCCTGGAATTCAGTTTCAGATGTGTGGGATTAGAGACGAGCTGAAGGCTGAAACGTTCCCACGGAACCCAGCTTAGAGGGTGGTCAGATAAAGGAGGACTTGGAAGCCACAACGTGCCTGCAGCTCAGAAGGACAAATTCTGGCAGGTGCAGCCCAACCATTAAAGACCCAGGAACCTTCCCTTCCTTCACCTTCGTGAATGTCGTTTTCACCGTCCCCAGAAAACTGGTCCCATCGGATGACTGCATTCCTCAACCTGGCCTGCAGAGAAGGACTGACCTGGACTGGATCAAACATCCAGATGGGAGTCCCGAAGGTGCTTTTTCAAAAGGCAAGTGGATTTTCTTTGTTTTTTCCTTAAAGATGTTTCGCTTCTCGTCTAAAAAGCTTCTTCAGTTCTGGACTTTGAACTGAAGAAGCTTCTTGGACGAGAAGCAAAACGTCTTCAAGGAAAAAAGAAAGTCCGCTCGCCTTTTGAAAAAGCACCTTTGGGACAACCATGACCTGGATGATGGAGAATCCCCATAGACATTTAAGATGGGAGGACTTCAGCTCCCAGAATTCCCCAGCCAGCATTCTGAAATCCTTTCTCAAATCCCAGCTCCCAGAATTCCCCACTTTGGGTCAACAGTGGGACTCCCAAAGAGGTCTTGGAAAGCTATTTGGAGGTCCTAGGATGAGACCCTCTGTTTCCTAAGTTTGGCCATTTTAAGATGGGAGGACTTCAGCGCCCAGAATTCTCCAGCCGGCAAGGGTGGCCTTCAGAACCCGCTGATCGTGGTTGGTTCCATGAATAGTGGTTAAGCCGCCTGATTCAGTTCAATTCACCTGTAGGTGAATTGTAAAACATTCTCTGTTGGTTTAGCTTACATCTCAAAGCCATGCTGTGGCTTAATCTGTCAATGCACGGGGTCATAATTGAAGCAAACTATGGTTTAGCACATTCCATCAAGCCAGCCTGTCTTTTCTCTCCAGCTTCTGATTTGTGACTGAATGTCAGCCTTAATTCAGCCTGGAGAAATCTTTTCATTATACTTCATTATCTCTGCTCTCTTTCTCTCTGAATTGCTTTTAAGCATCGGCCTAATGGCTTTGGGGAAATTTTAGAACGCTAAGGAGAGTGGAGAGAGCATTATGATGGGGGATTCTGAGCTCATCCCAACTGGTTAAAATCAGTACAGCAGGAGGCTGTTTCGTTTAATGGTGGAAACAAAAAACGGAAACGGAAAAAATGGAAATTTTAAGGCCAGGATTAATTAGAAAAATGGGTCTGTTGCAAAGCTATTTTTAAAATGAATAGAATAGAATAGAATAGAATAACGAGAGATTAATAGAATAGAGTAGAGTAGGGTAGAATAGAATAGAATAGAATAGAATAGAATAGAATAGAATAGAATAGAATAGAATAGAATAGAATAACTTTATTGTCACTTTAAATGTACACTAATCAGCATAGATTAAAATGAAACTTCATTGCATTCTGCTATCAAAGGGTAAAAAATAGGATTAGTTTACTGCTCAAGGCTTGTGTGCTATTGCTATATAACCTAGCTTCTGTTTTAATTTCATTTCATTTTCCTACAAGCATTTTTTTCTTTTTTCTTTTTCTAAATTTCTAAATAATTCCCAAGCCTTCTTGTTAAGTAGAGCAGAGAGGAAAAAACTTTTTCCCCCGATGGGAAAGGGAGTCTGAAACCTATCCTGGGGTCTGAAATCCATGGGAACCCCAGTCTCCTTCTGCCCAAACCTCAGCATTCCTCTGGCCTTCAATGGCCCCTCTTAAACCTGATGTTGTCCACTTGAAAACCAAGGCCCTAATACCCAGTGACATGTGTCTGCCCAAAACTAAGAGATTTCTCTCTGTGTTTGTATTGTTGTATTTGAAATTGCTTTTTTTTTTAATTTAAGTTTGGGGGGTGAGTGGTAAATCTGTCTGTTTTGAATGAGGAGGGAAAGGGGGGGTGTTTAGGGCATGTTATTTAGAAAGAAAAAAAGTGATGGTAAAAGAGTTATTGGCACCTGTCACTCACCTGCCCACATTGCTTTCCTCACTTCTTATGAATTAACTTAATGGGCGGGTGTTTCTCTTGTCGAGATTCAGAATCGCTTGGCCTGAGGGTGGAATTTGAGCAGGAATTTTAAGGAGGGTAGATTCATCGGCTCTAATTTTCTGGAGTCCTTTTTTTCTCTTCTCTTTTTGACTTAGCGGCGCCAGGGGTCCTCAACCTTGGCAACTTTAAGACTTGTGGATTTCAATTCCCAGAATTCCTCAGCCAGCAAAGCTGGCTGAGGAATTCTGGGAGTTGAAGTCCACAAGTCTTAAAGTTGCCGAGGTTGAGGACCCCTGACTTAGCCTGTTGTCCTTCTCAAGTTCAGCTGGTCTCGTTTCTCCTCTGTCCTGCTCCAGCGTCCGGGAGAGCGGCTGCCGCAGCATGGGCATTCAGCTCGTCAGCACATAATGCTCCCATGCGCCTCCATCGGCCCTGTCCCCGTGAAGCTCCTTCTCTGCCGTGACTTCCTTGGCCAGGTGCAAGAGAAGTCTTCCTGCTTGACGGAACTAAAATGTGACCTCCTGGAGCACCATGGAGTCCTTCGTGGTGGTAGCGGAGTACGACTCTCCCCCCAGTTCCACAGCAGGCCAGCCGGAGGGGCTGGCAGATGAGGAGCCCATGGAGCCATGCGAGGAGCAGCCCCTTCTGGGCCCGGTTCCTGGAGGTCGCGAAGAACCAGGCCCGGCCGACCCTCCGAGGGCTTCCTCCAGAGAGATCAGGGAACCTTGGATCAAAGTCAACCTTTCAAGTCGCAAGCTGTCTCTGCAAGAGAGGTCTCCCTCCGTCCAGTCCCCCAGCGGGAACATGGGGGTCAACGGGCGCTACATTTACCCTTCCCTCCCTTACTCCCCCGTCACCTCCCCACACTCTTCCCCACGTCTGCCCCGCAGGCCCACCATCGAATCCCACCGAGTTTCCATCACCGGATTACAGGTAAGAGAAGCAACGTCCCTCCCGACTCAGTTTGGAGCTGAGTTTGCTTGTTTGCTCACCATTGTTAAAAGAAAAGGAAAAAGGGAGAGAAAAAACAAACAAGGGGAAAGAGAAAAGGTGGGGGGAAAAAAGATGCAGAAATACGGTAAGTGGATGAAGGAATTACGGAGATTGAATGGCTGTTTTTCCAGTATATTGTTGATAAGAAATGAACTGTAAAAAAAAAAGTACATTGAATTATTTTGGCAAGATGGGAAAGAATTTGATTCTCAATGCCACAATCTCCACACTTCTCCAGAGAGGAAAAGAAAAAGAAAAACTAATAATAATTGGAACTATTAGTACCATTTTATACTCTTTTTGTGCTGTACACTGCTCAAGTCACTTCTTGTAAGAAGGGCAGCTATATAAATTGGATAGATAGATAGATAGATAGATAGATAGATAGATAGATAGATAGATAGATAGATAGATAGATAGATAGATAGATAGATAGATAGATAGATAGATAGATAGAATGATGGGTGGATAAGATGGATAGATGGATAGAAAGAAAAAAGGAAGGAAAGAAAGAAAAAGAAAGAAAAAGAAAGCAAGCATACTGACTGATGAATTCTGAAAGTCGGTCCACGCCTCTTAAAGTTACTGAGGTTGGCAAACATTTATTTAGAGAACTTGCAGGCAATTTATCTTCTGCCATTAATGCTCAAGGTGCTGGTGAGTGGGGCCACACCTTTGATCATTGGGAGAATAAGTGCTTCATGCTTTCTACGGCACTTACCTTCCAATTAACCCCAGTGCATTTTAAGCAGAGAAAGGACGATCGAACGGTGCATTAAGCTCCCTTCCACGTCAAACCGAAGAGGAGCGTCCAGTGGATTTCTGGACTTGGGGCTGCTTTTTCTTACTCCCGGGATTCTTTTTTTTTTATTATTGAGTTTTTTTATCCATAAAGGGAAACGAGGGAGGAATATAGGTATGGTAAACGGGAGGGTGGGGAGGAAAAAATTATTTTTCTTTTTTTTCTTTTTTTCTTAATATTTTTTTTTAATTTTTCCTTATATTATTTTTTCGTTTATGCCTTTTTTTTCATCATTCATATTTTTTTTACTATTTTTTTTCTTTATCTTATTCTTTTTTTCTTTTTTTTTTCTTTTTTTTTATAATTTATTCTTTTCTTTTTTTATTTTTTTATAGCATAAAAGGCATAACAGAAACGAAAAANAAAAAAAAAAAGAAAAAAAAATAAGATAAAAAATATAAAAAAATAAAAAAAGAAAAGAATAAATTATAAAAAAAAGATAAAAAAAGAAAAAAAGAATAAGATAAAGAAAAAAATAGTAAAAAAAATATGAATGATGAAAAAAAAGCATAACAGAAACGAAAAAATAATATAAGGAAAAATAAAAAAAATATATTAAGAAAAAAATAAAAAAAGAAAAATAATAATATAAGGTAAAAATAATAATAATAATAAAAAAAATTAAAAAAATTAAAAAACTATATAAAATATATATATATAAAAAAAATGAAAAAATAAAAATAAAATGAAAAAAAATAAAGAAAAAAAATGTAAAAAAAATAAAGAAAAAAATGCAAAAAGAAGAAAAAAATGAAAGAAAAAAGAAGAAAGAAAAAAAAATAATGAAGAAAAAAAATTAAAAAATGCAAAAAGAAGAAAAAAATTAATAAGATAAAAAAATTAATAAAAAAAAGAATGAAAGTAAGAAAGAAAGGTAAAAATAAAAAAAATAAAATAAAAAAAATAAAAAAGATAAATAATAAAAAAAACGTATGTGGAAAGAATAAATGATAATGGAAAAAAAAGAAACGTAAAGAATGATGATACAAGAAAAAAATATATAAGAAAAAAATATTAAAAAAATCAATAATGATAAGAAAGTAAAAATGAAGATAAATAAGAAATGAACGTATAGCAAAAAAAGGATAAAAAAAGAAAATATAAAAAAATATATAAGAAGTAAAAGGAATAAAAGTAAAAGGAACTCTGTTTGCTGCAGAGTTTCACTTAACAGCTGTGCAAGAAAGGACATGCAATGGCGCAAAGCTCACTTAACAATGTCTCATTTAGCAACAAAAACCTTGGACTCCATTGTGGCTCTAATTCGAGGACCACTTGTAAATATAAATAGCACAAATATCGGTATGAAATGATAAATAATGTTTTCAAAGTGTTTTGAAGTCTAAGGGTGGGGATAACGGTAGCCGAAGTCCTGGGCACCTCATCCCTGTCAGATGCTTCTCTGTTTATATGTGTGCTTGTGTGTGTGTGTATTCCCACCCTCATGTTGGTGGCTTCTATGGAAACAATAACTTAACTGTGCGAATGGAGGAGGTTTTATGTTCCCAAAGGGGAGGAAGAAACACGGCTTAATGGCAGGTTGTTCGGCTATTGACTTTCGGTAATTCATTTTGCCTTTGCCTTTTCTCTTTCTCAGGATTGTGTGCAGCTCAATCAATACACTCTGAAGGATGAAATTGGAAAGGTAAATCACACACACACACACACACACACACACACACACACAGAGTCCTTGCACTGTTGTTGCATATTTGGGATGGAAACTGTCTGACCTTCTGCCTTGGTAAATAAACATACAAATGAAAAGAACTTGTCAATCATTTCAGCAGCATTTAGGAAAACTGTTGCTTCCTTCCTGTTTCCTTCACCTATGGTTTGTGTGTGTGTGTGTTTGTGTGTGTTTCGCAGGGCTCCTATGGTGTTGTGAAGCTGGCGTACAATGAAGATGACAACACTTACTATGTGAGTAAATGCTCATCAGCTGGGATGGATTGCTTCAGTTTAACCCAAAAAAAAAAGAGCTAAAAGAAGGAGAGGGTGGAATTGGGTGATGAGTTTTGAGAAGGGAGGATTCATATTCTTGCACAGCACCAAGTTAGGTGGGGACTTAATTTATTTAATCCACCTATCGGTTTTATCCCCGGAGCAGAGCTAAAATGGCATAAAAAGAACAGCAGAGGAGAACTCATTATGAAACCGTTTCGGAGCAACCAGTAATTAATTTTTGTGTTGCGTTGCGAGTTGTTTTGTTCCCTGGCAACTCAGCGTCCTTGTCTCCTGCAGGCAATGAAAGTGCTTTCCAAGAAGAAGCTGATGAGACAAGCGGGTTTCCCACGTAAGTTGGGGTGCGCAGGCCGCTGTCCCGGGCAGGTGGGTGGGGAGGAAGCAAAATGATGGGGCCCCAAAGGATGGAAGGGATCAAAGGTCAGCCTGTTTCCTCAGAAGGCCTCTGAGTCCCGGATTTGAGGGAATTAATGCAGTGGAGGCCCACTTGGTTTGGCCCTAGGACTCAGGGGTAGGCAACCTTGGCTCTTTTATGACTCGTGGACTCAGGAATTCTGGGAGTTGAAGTCCACGAGTCATAAAAGAGCCGAGGTTGCCTACCTCTGACGTAGGTGGTTGGTTTTGTCTTGACTCCCAGCTTGAGTGCCCTCCAACCCTACGGACGTCGTATGGAAAACATGAAGAAGGGTTGCAAGATTTTGTTACAATAAAGTAGAGTTGGCTCCGCTGGTCATCTTTCCTGTCAGGCTGACCAAGCCATTCTCCACCAGCCTTCCAGGTTGATGACAGGTAGGTAATCTATACCTGTATCTTCTTCCTCAGGCCGCCCTCCTCCTCGGGGTGCCAAACTGCCCTTGGAAGGCTTCTGCCAACCCAGAGGACCCATTGAGCAGGTCTACCAAGAGATCGCCATCTTGAAGAAGCTGGACCACCCAAACATCGTCAAGCTGGTGGAGGTGAGGAGGATCTTGAACCAGAGGCACTTCCTAGGTATGGACCCATCTCTGGCCTGGGCAGATTGTCTGCCAGAGCCGAAGCCAGAAGCTCAGGTGGCATTCCATGGAGAAGGTGTGAGCAGTTGGGTTTCCAAGTGACCCCACTTCAGTTGGCAGAAAGGCTGGCCAAACGTTAGCGAGAGGTTTCTGCTTCCCACCTTAAAATCTGAATTCATTCGGAGAATTTCGTATCGTGCGTATAGCTCAGATATAAAACCCCTTTTGTCTTTCTCGTTACTGGCAGGTATTGGATGACCCCACGGAAGATCATTTATACATGGGTAAGCCACCCTGCTCCCTTTCCTTTGATACTCAGAAAAGGGAGGGAGGGAATAAGGTTCCTCCTGCCCACACATGTTGCACCCCGTCCAGCGTGCAGAGGCAGCCCTGCCAAGGGGTTGATTGACCCAGTCAGCTAGTTGGGACCCTTTTGTTACGCAAATGTTTCTCCTTGTAATTAACGGCCAGTGTCTTTTGCATTTCAGTGTTTGAACTTGTGAAAAAGGGGTAAGTTGATTATTGTTTTTACCATTTTTAAATAATAGTGCACATGTTGCATTACAGAATAAGGGGAGAAATTGTGGCCCTAAGCATTTTACTCCCTATAGCAATATTTTTTTTCAATCTCTGTGACTTTAAGGTGTGTGGACTTCCAACCCCCAGAATTCCCTAGCCATTAAGTTCATACATCTTAACGGCTGGCGAATTCTGGGAGCTAAAATTCACACATTTCTAAGTTGCTGAGGTTGAAAAACACCGCTGGATAGTATGGCAGTAGGTTTTCTGTTTTAAAATTTCTTTTTCCGCACGTGGACTACAATATGACTCACAATTTTTAGTCACAGTGAAGAGTTGGCTCTGCTTGTTTGAGCCCTGAACTAACCACGTTTAAAGTGTTAACTATGATTTGTACAAACCGTAACGGCCCACACTTTGCACGGAGCCACAACGTGGTTTGTTTATTTTTGGCTCTGTGGGATGAGCAAATCCATGCTTTATCATTTAATACTATGCCAGTATTGCTTGTTTAGCAAAATTGTTTTGCTCCTGAGAAATTAAAACCGTCACTTTCGCAGACTGCAGGTACCAGGTGTGCTGGACTCAAGGAACGGCTGCTAATTCCTCTTTAAATTAATTTATTTTTCCCTTTGTAGGCCAGTGATGGAAGTTCCCAATCTGAAGCCTCTGACTGAAGACCAGGCACGATTTTATTTCCAAGACCTGATCAAAGGCATTGAATACTGTGAGTGTGTAGAAAAAAACACACAAGGCTCAAAACCAGGCCTGGGTTGAGTATGGGAACCAATTTTCCGTCCCAAGGCTGGGCCTTGTAAGAAAATATGGAGAAGGCGTCTTTTGAACCCGTGCAGATTAACATCCTTCTGCATAGCCTTTTCTTACAATAAACAGGAACTGCTCACCTGCCCGCGTTTTCCAAGCCAGACAAAAGAGGTTAACATCTTATCTCACATTTAACGTTTCTCCACAGTACACTACCAAAAAATTATCCACCGGGACATTAAACCTTCCAACCTTTTGGTGGGCGAAGACGGTCACATCAAAATTGCCGATTTTGGCGTGAGTAATGAATTCAAAGGATCGGATGCCCTGTTGACCAACACGGTGGGCACGCCAGCATTCATGGCCCCAGAGACGCTCTCCGAAACCAGGAAAATATTTTCAGGAAAGGTAAGTGGAGGGAAGGAAAAGCAGCATGCGTCTTCCTGACTTAAATCTTGTTTTCCTGTCATCTGGTAGGAATGGAAAAGGTTTTAGAACCGACTCCTAATTCAAGCTGACGCGGTCTCTGAACCTGGCCTAAAGCAAACCAATGTAATCCGGGATTTGGGCCGAGGGTGTTGTATAAATCCTGACAATCGTGGCTTAGTCGAGGTGTGGCTAAAACAAACCTTAAAATAGCACGATATGTGAACCTAGCCGGTTGGTGATTTAATGTTAGTCTGTGGCCTCAACTGCCCGTGCCTCAACTGTGAAGCTGTGTGATCTTAGGATGGACCATTACGTCTTAAGGCAGATCACTAGATCTTATGGCAGATCCCCTATTTCCCTATAGAACTGGCTTGATGTGTCAGTATAATAATAATTTATGCCAGCCTTGGAAAGTGAATGGAATAGAGGCATTGCTGAAAGAAGAGGCAAAATATTATCTAGCTGTTTCTCCCAGTGATAGAAGTATCAGTGATAATAATGCAAGGAGCAAGCATTTTTGAAAAGCTAATGTATATTTCCTCCCTCCTTCCCTCCCTCCCTCTCTCTCTCTCTCTAACCCTAACCCTTCTCTCCTCCCCTCTTTCCTCCCCTTCTTCCTTTTCATTCCTTCCTCCTTTTCCTTCCTTCATCTTCCTTCCTTCCTTCTTCCATCTTCTCCCTCCCTCCCATTTCTTTCTTCTCCCTCCCTCCCTCCTTCCCTCCCATTTTTTCCTCCCTTTCTTCCCTCTCCTCCCTCCCTCCCTCCCTCCCTCCCTCCCTCCCTCCCTTCCTTCCTTCCTTCTTTTCCAAGGCTTTAGATGTCTGGGCAATGGGAATCACGCTGTATTGTTTTGTCTTCGGACAGGTAACAGAATGTCTTTTTCTATCTCTATGCCAGTTTTTTTTTCTTGGTCAGATGCCAGGCCAAAGAAAGCATTAAATTTACAGAATGCAAGCCTCTTAATAATGGATATTAAGTCAAGCAGAAATGAGTGGATCTCTCAGTTGTGGTTTGTCATTTTTTCCACTTCTTTGAGTGATCCAATTCCTCCGCTAGGGCTGAGATTCCTTTAAAAAAAAAAACACCAAAGTGCTAAAGCTCAGATGCGTTTCCGTGTATATTCTGTAAACAGGCAAGATTGTGGAATGTGTGGTTTTTAATCCGGTTTTGTTAGCTCCGTGAAAATATGCCCCTCCCTTTTCTACAATGTTGTGTGATTATGTTGTGCCTGTTTGATGGAGTAGGTGGTGTTAAACCGTTTGTAGGCGACCCAGTTCTGGCTCAGGTTGTCGTAGAACTGTTTTGTCACCCACGCAGTGCGATTCGAAGGGGAACTCATCCAGTTTCTCCTCTGTGCCAGCCATAACATCTCCCTGGATATTCTTATCCTTCCCAGTGTCCTTTTATGGATGAGCGGATCCTTAGTCTGCACAGCAAAATCAAGAGCCAGATGCTGGAATTTCCGGACCAGTAAGTGAGAACTCCGCGGCTCTCAGGTTGAGTCCTGTAGATGTGTTGATGCTTCTTCGAGGCATTGCAAGTTCAGATCTGGGGGGGGAAGCAGGGCCCATGTCTCTGAGGCCGATCAAAATCACAACTCAGATTATTGGCCGTGATTTCCTTTGAGGGGGAGGCAGAGACACTTTCACTGCTCACCACCCTAATTCTAACCCATCAACTCAAAAGGCAGTGTTCTTTCTTTTTCTTTTTCTTTTTAATCATCCAAGACCAGACATTTCTGACGAACTGAAGGATCTAATAACCCAGATGCTGGACAAAAAACCCGAATCCAGGATCACCATCCCAGAAATTAAGGTAATTCACGGCCATCCTTTTAGTGAGAAAAAGAGACACCACCACCCCAAATCATCTTCCCCAACTATCTTTTCTGAAATCAGCAGCCCAGCCTTGTCTCTTTCTCTTCCCCCCAACCCACACCTGGGCCCCCAGCTGCATCCGTGGGTCACCAAGAACGGCACCGAGCCGCTGCCGACCGAGGATGAAAATTGCACGCTGATCGAGGTCACCGAAGAAGAGGTGGAGAATTCAGTCAAGCACATTCCCAGCTTAGCCACCGTGGTGAGTGGATTTTGAGCTCTGCGCTTGAGCCGCTGCCAGGCTTTCGCGTCCGTGCCAGTTTCGGTAATGGCTTTGCCATTAAACCCTGTCGGTCTCTGCGGAGAGGCAGAGAGCTTCAAATGGACGGGGCTGGTTTAATTCTAGATTGCTCTGGGCAAGATTAGGAAGGTTGCCTGTGGTTTTAAGAGGACAAGGGGGTCCTGGCTCACCACGGTTCACTTAGGGCAGGGGTAGGCAACCTTGGCTCTTTTATGACTATTGAACTTCAACTCCCAGAATTCCTGAGCCAGCTGTGCTGGCTCAGGAATTCTGGGAGTTGAAGTCCACGAGTCATAAAAGAGCCAAGGTTGCCTACCCCTAACTTAGGGACCAGGTTCCAGGTTATAACGGCACTGAAAAAAGGGGCTTGATCACCATTCTTCACAGTTACAATCTTTGCAACATCCCCACGGCCGTGTGATCAAAATTCAGATCTTGGCAACTGTCTCATACTTAACGACCATCGCCGTGCCCCAAGGTCACGCGATCCCTCTTTTGCGGCCTTCTGACGAGCAAAGTCCATAGGGAAGCCAGCTTTACTTCGTAACCATGTTACTTGCTTTAACGACTCCCGTGATTCATTTAACAACTGTGGCAAGAAAGACTGATAAAAGGGACAAAACTCCCTTAACAGCTGTCTCGCTTAGCAACGTAAAATGTGGGCTCAATTGTGGCCGTTCTGTTCTCAGATCCTGGTAAAGTCCATGATCAGGAAAAGATCCTTTGGGAATCCGTTTGAGGGGAGTAGAAGAGAAGAAAGATTTCTTTCTGCACCAGACCGGCATACGTACTTGATGTAAGTGCCTCGGAGGGGGCTATGGATGAACTATAGCCTGCCTTCCTGCCTTCCTGCCTTCCTGCCTTCCTTCCTTCCCTTCCCTTCCCTTCCCTCTCTCCCTCCCTTATATCTTGAGATTGTACATCTCTTAAAACTTGCAAAAGTGGGTTTGGGGAAAATTCCCCCCAATTTTCCTTCTGTTCCTGCAGAGAGCAAGCTATCTAAATGAAATAAAAATGGTCATTGCACCATCGCCCCCCCTCCTGTCCCCCCCCCCAAAAGCATTGCAATTGTTCTCATGCCTTTCTTTGAGTTAAGGACAAAAAACATTTGGCTTTGACGATCTTTGTCTTCCTTCCAAAGCAGGAAACAGAGCAGCGAAGAGGCTTTCCACACCATGAACGATCTGCCAAACGTGAGCGAAGACGAACTGCTTTCTTGAAAAAAGGAAAAACCCTGGCCCTTCCTGTAAGAGAGATCCTGCTTAGCTCACCGTGCCTGGTGTGCGAAAAGAAGGTGTTCTGCAGACGGTTGAGCCGGCTTGCAGGACGTCGGTTCATTGTTTAAATACCAAATGTAAAGATTTTCGTGACAGCATGCTGTACAGATCAGAATCCATTCTATAACCATCCAAAAAGATCTCTGCTGATTAAAGACAGGGTGTGGAACCCTGAAGGATGATCTTCAGGCTCGCTGGTCGTCCTCCTCCAGCGGTGAAGCATCGTGCTGACTTTCCGGAAAAAGCAAAAAAAAAAAGAAGCAAAGAACTCACCCAAAATGAAACCAAGTTTGGGAAGAAACCTACATCTGCTCAGGCCAAATCTTTTGCAAAAAAAGAACAACGATCCAATTTTTTTTATCAGTGGATGGCTAAACCACGGTGCTTCTTGCCAAATGAGGATCGAGAAAACGCTTGCTTTTGGTGGGTTTTTTTTTGTTGTTGTTAATAATTATTGTTATCCCTTTTTACTGCATGGAAACCAAACCGATGTCACACTGAGGAAGTATTTGCAGAACGCTTAGCTTTTTGTGAGCAGGCGATTGGGTTTTAAGAGCGGGCTTTTTGAAAACTCTTTGAGTTTTTCCTAAGTCCGAAGGGAAAGGCGGAAGGGACGCACACCGGCAAAGGGCAAGAACGGTGCATTTGAAGATGGGTTGTGCGGTTGCGTTCAAGCACAAATTGCCAACATGCATTTGTTTTGGTGCAGCAGTGTGCTTGGCTGGCAAAGCACAGGCTCGTATTTTACTGATCATAATTCTACTTTATATCTGTGTTATTGTATGGCTATGTACACAAAATTCAGGGTTTTATAAATAGTAGCCATCTGGTGCTTGCTGGCATGTTTCAAATAAGTCAAATAACTTTCAAGGATGGGCGTAGAGATTCCGCTGTTTTTCAAGACTCTCCAAGGATTTAAACCAAAACCAGATTTTTGAGCACTTCTCCAACTTGCTTATTAAGTTCCTCCAGACTTCTGGATAGAAAGCAGTCAGCATCGTGTGTTCCAGTAGAGTCGCAGCTCCTAAAAGAGGGAACTGTTGTGGCAAGCCTAGGGGATCCTGACGTATTCTGAACCTCACCTGTAATCCTTTTCACAGATTAACCTTTCTAGGAAGTAATACGACTCATTAAACTCTTTGCATCTGCTTTTTTTTAAAAGCAGCCAAGAATTTACGCATGGAAAGGCTGCTATGGTGTTTTGTTTTTTTTAAAGAAAAACATGTTTTAAAAAAAAGATTAAAAAGCTCTCATTCCATTAAAAAGAAAAAGAAACGAGCATCAGAATATTTCTGGCAGGTTCTCTTCTGTGCGGGCCAGGTAATTTTGACTATAGCTCTCGTTATCTTATTCTAACATGGCAGGATTGCGAGACGGTAACATTCGTTGCTGTAAAAGCAAATGAAAAGGGGTAATTGTAATGGGGGCTGTATATTTTCCTGAGTTACTCTGCCCAACATTGGGAATACTGGTCAAGAGTGATGGGAATTGTGGTCAAAGAAATGTTGAGAGTGAGATTAAGGAAGCATTGGATGGAGTAATTTTGATTTGTGTTTGCCGTGTATCTATTCAGCCATTTGTGACCCTACTTTAAATATCAGGAATATTAGTCTTTCAAGGTATCTTTTGTAGAAAGCTGGCTAGTTTGGCTGCTGAATAATCCCTGACAGCTGCTAATTTTATATCAGTAATGAATGCCTCAGGTTTGTACATTACAGCCTTCAAAGCTTCCTTCCTTCCTTCCTTCCTTCTCCCCCCTCTCTCTCTCTCATTTTGTTGATACTGTATTTTCAACTCAACCATTCATTAACATGAAGAAAAAAAGCGATATAAATCATATTTCCCAATCTTTATTTTCTCTTGCAAAATAGATAATTCTCATTGACACTGCCTTACATTCGTCTCCTAAAACAGGGAAAGTGCCATTATCTTTTCATTTATATATTAAATTTCCGTGGATATAAGCAGGGCAGTAGGAACCCAGTAGTAGAAGCTGGAAGCTGACACGCCTGCATGTCACATTTATTTAATATCCTGGCCATTTCCAGAGTGGAATTGTACTTGAGAGGGAATTCTCAAGGTCTGTTTAATTCCAGCAATAGAGGCTACAAATTGCCCCAAGTGGCACTTTTTGAAAGGGTGACTATGGAAGACAAGTGTCCAAACAAGTGAGTGCAAGGCAAATCGTCCCACCCTTTCCAAAGAGTGAAAAAGGGAAGCACACCAGAAACTGGCAAGTCTAGAAATATCAAAGAAGTATCTTGGTCCCATCACCTCTCCCTGCACCCCATTCTGTCCATGAACTGAACGGTGGAAAAGGCACATAGAAGAATCTGATTCGGAATTATCTCGGACTACTCGAAGCTCGGCAGACCCTACACCCAAAAAGCCTTGAGGATTTGCAGGAGAACGTTGCTTTCTTTGGGAGAATCTCTAGGTGGATCCAGGATGCCGCCAACAGAAGCAAAGGTGGACAGAGGAACTATGGATCCGCTCTTTTCCAAGAAGGAAATCCAGGCCCTCTTTGCCAGTGAAAGACCTCCCTCGGCTGGGTGAAATGAGCAGGATCTGTTTGTGAAGAATCATCGCACTGTGGAGCAGTCTTGAACTTCCGTCTGGGATCCATACGTTGCATGGTCCCCCTGCTAAAATAAAGGTAACATTCAGGATGGGAGAAACCAAATAGAAGAGGGGTATAACGTACCATAGCTGGCTGGGGGGGTTCTGGGAGTTGAAGTCCACAAGTCTTAAAAGTTTCCAAGGTTGGACACCCCTGAATTAAGACTGACATTTTCCTCCCAAGTTGACAGATGAGCAACTAATAGTAAATAGATCACTCATTCAGAGAAAATATTTTAGGTTCTTTGTTTAACAAGCTACCTAGATCCATTCAATGTTCTCTCTCTCACACACACACACGGAGATTATAATTCTCAGGCTATCTGGAGAGATCACAACCAATTCCACCGCCAAGTTTGCACTTAACTTTCTCTCCTTCTGGAGTCCAGAGCTTAAGTAGGAGAAAAGAGTTTTTAATTTAGTGGTTTGGATACAAACGGTCAGCCGCATAAAAGTGATGGGAGGTGGCAAACTTACCAGTTCATAGTCTTCCACATATTTATATTTCTTTTCTCTGTAGTAGTATCTTTTCTTCATAAAATACAGGACGATGATATCGCAGAGGACCGTGGTCTAGATGAGATTTCAAGGAATTTATTTTGAGAAATGAAATCTTCTAAAGACCAAAAACCGCTTGGGAAAAAGAAAAGAAGGCTCTTACCACGCCGAACAGGGCCAAGCCAGATCCAATATTGATCATGGTGGGGATGATATCAAACTTTCCAGCCTAAGACATATGAACGGAAGCAAATTATTCTGACATATCTCCTTAAGAACACGGCAAAGATCGTCTATAAACTGCTGCCGATTCAGACAATCCACTAAAGCCGTAGACCGGCTTGTTTCCATGTGTGACTATTGATTGTGGTTTATGGGTCACGATTAATGGCTTAGAGTAACATTTTTCAACTGAACCACTTCCAAGAGTAGAAGCAAGTGACAAAATGTCATACAATTTCCAAAAAACGTACCTCGCCAAATACCATAATGTCGAAACGTATGCCATAGGCCTTGGTGAGGGTCCGGTACTCGTTGTTGGGAGATGTCCGGTAGTATTTGGCAAACCTGAACCGGAGGAAAAAAGCAACATCCAATCCAATGATTATGACACCATCACAGTAACATTTCTATGCTATAAATACACCCAAAATTTGAATATTTTAAACCTCGCTGCCCTTCCAAGATTTGTGGGTCATCATATGTACCACCAAGGCTTCACAGTTATTACAAAACAATATCCTTCTCAGTAAAAGTTTAGTCAATTATAGTCATCTGTTACATTCACATAAAATCAAAATAGCACTTCAAGTAGTAGTCCCAGTTATAACAAACTCAAATAAATTTTACAAATTATCTAGCAGCACTTCACCAACTTTGGCATGAAGCAATAAAAATCACCAGGGGAAAATCATAAAATAAAAATGACAAAACAAAATACCTCTTTGGCATAAAACAGTAAAAAATCACTAGGGGAAACCGTGTCAGATCTAAAATTCTCCGGGGATAAAACCAGCGCAAAAACGAAATCAGCCTCTGGAGCCATCAGGTCACCAGCTCCAGGTGAGATGGCCCACCACCAGCTTCCAGCTTTGGCTACTCGGACAGCCTTACCTGAAGTTGTATCCTGGGGAAACGGAATGAGCAGAATCCTTGTTGTCAATTCGCCGAAAGGAATACTTTGGCACGCAACGAGAAGCTGGGTAATCTAAGTTGCAGTCCCATCGGATCTGCAGTCCCATCACGCCACCCTGCAAAAGGACATACCAAACAGGTGCAAAGGCTGCTACCGCCATCCTTGAGCAAATTGTCCAATGTGGTAAACTTCTGGTTTTTGCTGGAGCTGACTGTTCAAAATTTCAATAATTTGGTAGTCAGCTCTGAATTCCCTTCAATACATCAAGCCATTGAGTGCTCCCTTTGGCAGAAGCAAGAAAAACACAAGTCTAATTGCTCTTCCTTTCCTGGCCCAAGGCATTTTTGGACCCACCTCAATGGCCATCTCTTGGAAGTTCTGGCCAGCAGCTTCAACTATGTCCCCGAGGCGAAAAATTGGGCAAAAAGGGTCAGTCTTGGCGTTGTATTTGCAGTCCTTGAGGTAGGTGTGATTGATGGTAGGAAGAATGTTTCTCCTAGAAGAGAAAAGAAGTTTCTGGGTTTATGCTCCCTGAAGGAGCCCATGTTCCGCTGCTTAAGTAATCCCCAAGTAGACCTGTCCATACTTTGGTGGCTATGTTGAGGGTTATCTGTATAGACTGTCTGTCTCACTGCCTCAAATATCTGCCCTTTTCATCAAAACAGCAGTAGTGTTTGATGGAGCCATTTTGTGTAAACTACCTAACCCCACCTCGTCCAAATTTCTTCCCCTATCTAGCCCCACTCCAGCCAAAAGAGGTGAAAAAAGTACACATACTTTGTAAAGTTGAACTTTGGGTACCAGATGTTGTTCTTCACGAGAAGGGTAAACTCCTCAGCATCCCGCAGGAAAGCTGGCCTGGAGGAGATTGAGCAAGAGACACGAGGCGAAAGAAAAAACGGTCTTTCTGAAAAGATTTCGTTTCTTATAGCCCAAGTTTAAACACCCTGATTTCAAACCCAACATCGCCCCTTCAAAAAAAGACTTTAAGTGAGATATGAGGGCAGAATTTGCATGTAACACTAAACCAAGATCTGCTTTAGTTCAGTTTTCCTGAACGAGCCATAATTATTCTCGCAAAATACACGATTTGGACAGTTCTTCATTTGCTCTCCATTTTGTTTTCCTACCAGAACCCGAGTGAGATACAAATATAAGCCAGGATTGTGATTTCAGACATAAAGACAAGGAGCTGGCATCAAACTCTTGAAAGGTAACTCGGCAAGATGCTGTTTCTAGAAAGAGTTGCCTTCCACACCCTTCCTCCTTCCTCCTTCCTCCTTCCCTCAGATGCTCACTTGGGTAAGTTGTCATCATTCTCTACCGGACACCAAGCAAAGACCTCGCAAGTCTTGATGGAGGGATCTGTAAGGTTGTACACTCTGCACTTTCCGGTCTGAATACCTGAAAGGATGCAGAAAGGGCATCGTGAAGTTGGACGGAAGCTGGGATCCTCTCAAGACAGCAAACATGAAGTGAGGAGGGGAAAGAAAGCCTTAAGCTTCACTCCAGGGGGGCTCATCAAATGGGCCTCCCCATACAGATGTTTTGCAGGCCATCACTTCTGAAACTCAAACAGCAGCTTCTGTTCTGCTTCACATTTCACAATGTTAGCAGCAGCAACATCATATGTTTTCTGGCGGAAAGGTTGTCACCTCCTATCTAAAGAGGCTTTCAAGGGAAGAGGAGAACCTCAAGGTCGAAAGCATGACCCCTACCGTTGCTGTGGGTGCTGACGTAGCCTTTTTTGCAGTCTGCCTCTGACTTGCACGTGGTGGTCTTATCTGGGAACTGGATAAGAAGAGCAGCGAAGAGAGAAAGAAAGAATCTCTTATCTGCTCTGCAGTTCAAAGATCCCTTCGAATGTACTGCAGACTTCGGCTACCAGGGCCTTGGAGATACGGATAGTCCTCGACTTACAACAAGCATTTCCATTTTTAAGCAAGGCAGTTGCCAAGTGAATTGCACCCAGGGTTTTTTGGGGTCATGGTCATTAAGCAGAACAGTTAAGTTGTTAAGTGAATGCTGAATGCCAAATTTTGACCACTTGACCATGGAGATGCTGCAATGTAATTTTGAAAATTGGTTGTAAATTGGGTTTTTTGGTGCCATTGTAACTTAGAATATCATTAAATGCATAGTTGTAAATTGAGGATTGCATATAATTGCATAAATGGCACACAAAAAGAGCAAAGAACTAAAAGTTCACCTGCTATGCATGGATTTATTGAAAGCAGCCAAAGAAAGTGAAGAGAGGGTCCTCAGAAAAGGATCCATATTCTGCAACTTATGGAGATTGTGCAATTATCCATTTATCCTATACCTCTGCACATCGCTCCAGGTACACGCAAGGCAGATTACACCTGGGACCAGTTATGATCTCCTGCCCCTTTCCGAACTCTACTCCCAATTTCACATCCTTGCTTTAGTTTTTCAGAGGAAAGATACCCCAAATCTGACGATGAGCCATTGTCGCCGAGCCTACCTCTGGACAAAGCCCTTGGGTCTGATTCAGCGTGATGATCATATTTGTCATGATGAAAACCGAATTCTCAGCCTAAAGAGAGGAAAGAAGCAAGGTGGAAAAATGAGTTGAAATAGAGAAGACGTTTGATCTGGATTAAAAGCCTGAAAATGCAGCATTAAGAGTTCCTTCCTTTAGAAACAAAGCATCTGTTGAATTTCGCCATTCCTTATTTACAAGTTTACATTTTTTCAACCCCTGTACCATCCTTTAGACAGGACCATCAGTTTCCATGAGAAGAGAAAGATTAATTTAAATATGTACGTATCTCGGGGTTAGGTGCAGGATGAGTTACATATTGTAGGCAGAAAAATATGGACTAGATAAGGAGCAAGTGCAACTATGAGCTTGCAGAGAGTTTGGAGACAGATGGAGAAACATTTCTCCACTAATATCATGTTTTACTCATTGTTGCTACCATGGAAGCTAAAAACATCAGTGCCTTCCCATAGAAACCAAAGACCATCATCCGAAGTTGCTCACAACAGGAACTAGAGGTTGCAAACCACCGATCCATTGTTCTCTGTTAGCAGGGATTAAGGGAAGGAATCCCCTAAATCTGTCAAAAACCACAGCATTGATCTCCAATGGACCCACCTGAGGTGGAATCACGTAATCAGCCGCATCCCAAACCCGGGGACCCAAGTCAGAGGTGTTGGTCATGGTGACGCCTTTCACCTTAGTGGTGACCGAGCTCACCACCGAGTCGGTTTCTTGGTAACCTTTTTTCCACACAAAGACCCAACTGCAAGGAAGAGGAAAAAATTCTCAAAATGGCTGCCTCAGGTCTCAGGGAGAAAGAAAATGGATTTAGATACCACGTGTGTCTATTTTACTTTAATTTCTTAGTGCTTAGTTCATAGAGATAGATAGATAGATAGATAGATAGATAGATAGATAGATAGATAGATAGATAGATAGATAGATAGATAGATAGATAGATAGATAGATAGATAGATAGATAGATAGATAGATAGATCGATCAGGCTTATCTTGTCTCTGTGTTCTTTATTTCACCATCTATTTTAATTGTGAATTGTGTATTCTTCATTTAAGGGATGATCAACTAGCTTGCGAGAGTGACCTTGCTGACTCTTGTGACGAGAAAGTTTTTTTATTTATTTGTCAAAAATTACAAACTCAAGTGAACAAAATGAAAAAACTAAAATGGGACTAAAATGAGAGGCCATCTAAGAAAACTGGGGCTGTATGGGTGGGTGAAGAGCCAATGAAACACGGAGTCTCCCAAACTGGGCAACCAATAGGCTGTTTTGGTGGGAAAAGAACGGCTATAAAAGGGGCAGGAGCCCGAGGGCATCTCTCAGAGAGCTGAAGAGGCGAGAAGGAGGCAGAGCAGCCCTGAGGGGCAAAAGAGCCAAAGTCCCCCCGAAAGATCTCCAGGATGGAGGCCAGAGCAGCAGCCCAGAGGGTGGGCGAAGGGGCAGAAGTCACTCCCTGCTGAGTCACTGAGCACCTGGGGCAACCGAGGCCCCTCTCAGGCTGAAGTCCTCAAGAGGCCGGAAGGCCCCCAGGAGCCACAGAGTTGAAGCCCCTCCAGAGGCGTCTGGGCTGGAGGCTGAAGAGGCCAGAAGGGCCGGAAGAGGCCAGAGCAGCAGCCCTGAGGGGGCTGAAGGGGCGGAAGTCACTCCCCACTGAGCTGACTGACAGACTGAAGGGCAGGGGGGGCTGTGAGTGGCCAAAGAGCTGGAGGCCCATAGAGGCCAGAAGGGCCAAAGAAGCAAGCCCTAGAGGTGAGCGCTGCCCTCTGCCTTAAAGAGGCCTCCAGAGCCAGCTGGGCTTGAGGAGGAGGAGGGTCTGGGGGGCAAAGGGGCTGGAGCCCCCCTGCAGAAGGACCAGCCATGACTTGGAGGAAGGGGAAGGCCAAGGACAGCCAGCTTGTGTGAATCCGACCCTCCCTTGACCTGGGAGCCAGAGCTGAATCCACCCAGCATTTTTGCGTATGGCTAACTAGTGAGGAATCGAAGCTCCGAGGCACAAACTCCTGCGGTGAAGCCAAGCCAAACCTTACCCAAGCCTCCCTTCATTACTTTCGCTTTGAGCTGCCCTTTGAAACCTGCAAAAGCGGCGCTGAATGCTACCTGGAAAGGAGCCACTCACACTGGGGGAAGCCCCTCTTCGGACGTTTTACCTTCAGGGAACAGCTGAACGCCGGTTCCAAAGGAAGGCAAGGATTGCACGCCGGCCCGTGAGCAGCCAGCCGCACCCAGACAGCTGTTCAACGGGTGCGACTTTCCCCGGCTGTGCAAAACTCAGTTCCGGGGGGTGGGGGGGTGGGGGTTTCAATAGACCCTTCAGGCAAATCGGCAGATACAGGCTGGGGATCCTGGGCGAGGGAGTCCCAGCCCGGCTGGAGGGCGCTGGGTTGGGGGTAGGGCATCGCCCTCTACACCCGTTTGAAACTACGAAGGAGCGAGGGCCAAGGCGCTAGTCCCTAAGAAACGCACGCGCGCGCGCAAAAAAACAACAACAACAAGCGGAGCGGGCGCCTTCCTTACCCGATGATGTAGGCCAAAATAGCCAGCTGGACCAGCCGGTTCATGAGCCCCACTTTGCGGCTCTTGATGGAGACGATCCGCGGGGTGTCGTACTCGAAGAGGAAGCCGCGGAGGGCCCCGCAGCACGCCCCGGGGCTGCCCATGGCTGCCGTCCGCTCGGCCGAAGCGACTGGAGAAGCGCGGGGTCAGCCAGCCGGAGGCGCCCGATTCCTGCCGCCCGCCCCCCGCGTGTTGCAAGAGACGCCGGGCCGGGCTTCGGGTTTGCAGGCGAGGCGAGGCGTGTCCTTCGCCTCCGATTGGCCGCAGGTGGAGAAGCGGCTGCCCAAGTTGGTCTGCGGGCCGGAGACGGTGGGAAGCCAGCCGGATCCCCGAAGCGTCTCCGCGCAAACCTCGCTTAGCATCTCGGAAGACAAACGCGCGCAACGCCTTCATACAGAGATTGCAGCCGGGAGTGGGGGGGGGGGAGGATGGGAACTGGAGTCCCCTTTCCCCGGGGCGCGGCTAGGGAGATAATCCCTCTGCCCCTCGCTTCTAAAGCAGAATTCTCTTCAAGGGAAACCACAAGGGCGATGAAACAAGATCTTGCCTTGCATGCAGAAGCCTTGCCAAAATAAAATTGGTACCCCAAATACAAGACCAGGCTTCTGAGCTTAAATCCAATTTTGAGTAACTTCCCAACCCTTCACTGTAGCTCAGCAGTTCATTAAATAATTTAAGATATCACACAAGGTGCTAAGCCAGAATTAATCAGGCTGTCGCATAAATCAGTAGCTTAATGAGGATGCAAATCTTATGCATGCGCTAATTGCAAAATAATGATTCAGCCTGAATTTCTATGCATATTTGCCTGGTGGTTCAGCCTGACTATGCTGCTAATTTTAATCAGGAATCGATGTGGATCAAGACAGCGATTCAGATCCCAGATATATCTACAGGAAAGCCATGTAGATCCCAGGGCCTTCTCTGACAGCAAAACAGAACTGGACTAATTGCCAAACCTTTAGTTGGCTTTTTTTTATAATTATGTCTACATATCCCTATGAAAACGCCAACTGGAATTGCTGGTTCACAACCAGAAGATAGTTAATCTTTCTTGGGATTTTTTCCCCCAGACAATTTCCATCATACTTTACAATATCTTGTTAGTTGAAATTAAGCACACACAGAATCTTTTATTTGTTCTTATAAATTTAATTTTCATCTGTACAGAGAATTCACATGAGCATATTGTAAAAAAAAAAAGTATAAATTCTGCAACAATATATAAAAATGAGATAAAAAAAAATTGCAGAAAAATTGCTAAGAAATAGATTTTATTTTGCAACAATTAGGTAGATGAGCGTGGAAAGGTTAGCGGCCACTTAAATGTTAGGTTTGCTCCCTTGCTTCTGATAAAGAGAAACCACTTGAAATAACTTGCTAGACCAGCTTGTGGACTACAAGGGAGCTATCCTTTGCCAACAGGCCACCAAATGATTAAAAAAGAAAGCATAGCACAGCAATACGTGAAAAGTATGTGGGGCCAAGTCTCTTTTTGTGTAGACTTTTTAGGTACCAAAGTTCAGTAATGACATTGAATGGAAAAGTTGTTTCCGGGCAGAAATTCCCCCGATATGGCATCCCTGCAATTCACAGAATTCCTAGGCAGCGAAAAAGCATCTCCCAGCCATATTCTGTGCACTTAAGAGCATTTCTGCGTTGCCCTTCTTGTCCTTTGCATCTCCCTTCCTTTTAAATGGAGAGGCTGGAGCTGAACCTGAGGCATTTTGCGCAGAAAATATCCAAGCTTTCTTTGAAGGATATTTAAAATGGGAAGATTCCCTCTGGTTTATCAATGTTGAAAACAAAAGGGATTTTTCCCATTTCCTGAGAAATGAGTTATGGGAAAAGAAAGTTGAAAAGGTAGCTGAGTTATGGGAAAAGAATAGTGCTTCAGAACAAAATAAAGAAAGGAGTCTTTTTAAAATAAACAAAGGGACGTTTTTAAACAAAGGTGGCTCTGTGTTGGGATCAGCCAACCAAAACGACCTGATTTCACACCTGATTTCACACCGGTAAACCACTGCTAGGTTTCTGGGGAAAAACAAGCAGGCTCATTCCGTACTTTGGCTGCCTAAACGTGAGAAATCTGAGCCCTGTACATTGACTTTTCCAATCCTGGTTCTCTCCAGCTATCCCAGTGAGGTAGACAAGGCTGAGCGAGGGAAACGAGGCACAAAGCCTTCCAGGGATTTTCGTGGCTGAGCTGGGATCGAAACTCTGCTGTCCTCTGATCTTATTCAATAGTCTAAAAACATCATCCAGTTAAAGAGCAAAGATGATGGCAGGGCCACAAATGGCCATTTTTGAAAAGCAGGAGGCAAAGCTGATTAATTGGCACGCGTGTGTATCCACCCTTAAGGCCGCAACGCAGAAGTGCAACCAATAGTTACTTCTTCTTCTCGAAACCGCTGTATTCGCCGTTCTCACTCGGAAAAGCATCTCTGATTCTCCATCTGCAGCAGTTGGGGATCACAGCCCTGGCACCCAAGTCACCCTCGCCAAAGCGCCAGTGAATATACCGCTCGTAAGCACAGTGCCGAAAAGGCTGGTTGGCAACCCCAGCCCTCAGATCCAACAAGGGGTCCCTGTAGAGCAGAACAAACTCCAGCCCGGATCGGGAGAGGACGAGTTGCTCAAACAGAGGGGAAGTGGCGATGCAGGCCCCGTCCGTTTTTCGGCAGCAGAGCTGTTCCCAAAAGGGGTCTGCCGGCCGGCACTTTCCACAGCAGCACCAAGAGGGACATTCACGGAAGCGAGGACCTTCCTTTCGGGTTTGGAGGGGCTGCAGCTCTTGTGAGTTTTGGGGAGAGGCCGTGCGGTCCCAATATGGAAATCGGGAAGACTGCGTGAAATCGCCTTGGCATTTCTGTAAGTAAAAAACATCATATTGGTGGGTGATGGTTTTTTTTTTCCTCCCAAGGGAGACGCTTTGAAAGGAAGGGAGTGTGATCCTGTACCATTAAAAATGAAACCTTTCCATGGAACACAAAGACTGTTTCAACCCTGCCTTTTCAGAGATCTGGGAAGATCTTTGGCTGGTCTGAAGTTGCAGGAAGGCCAAATGGAGTCCTGTTCTAAATTACTGATGCTCGGGTTATCGTCGTCAGCGTGAGCCACACAGAGCCTTGTAAGTTGTAGCTTAACCCCAACTGTGTGTCATCCAGATCTAAACCCAGATTCATCTCAAGCCTCATTAGTTGCCACAAGCCAACTCTTTATAAAACATGGCTGCAGTTGGTCTCTTTAAATTAAGATTATCTGCAACATTTAGCTTGGAACAACATAGCAAGGAGTAGTTCATTAAAAATGTGAAACACAACCATGAAAATCCAAGCTTTGAGTGTGATACTAAACTATCTTCCAGCCTTGGGGAGCATTTAGTCTGTTCACAAATCTCTAGGCAGGCACCCCAGCCGACACCTGTGCACACCCCAATAAAGGCAGATTCCAAACTCACGTCCATGATCCTGCCCTTGATGTTCTGTAAACTGGTCTTCAAATATTCGTCGATCATTAGGATGTTGCACTCATCAACAAAGGTCACGTAAAACAAAGTCTGTCCAGTCAAAGAAAAACCAAAGAAATTAAGACTTAGCATTTTACTGGATCAGTGTGATATTCCGTAATTATTAACGGCTCAAGATTTCATCTCGCACCAATGCAAGAAAACTATTTCTCAGGATGGCAAAAACAGAGAAGGAGGGAAGGATATTCTGCATATATATCATATCATGTTATCATATCTGCATGCATATCATATCACTTCCTTCCGGCACTGATGGTGTTGCCTAGCTGGGTCAGGAAATGTCTGCAAGAAAATCACCAAGCTCAGAGAGCACCAGGGACCCCACAGTCCTCCTCGCCTTGAATCCATTACTGGAGATAGAGGGATCACCCGCCTCTCTAGTACGTTTATAGGCCACCACGGATGGGTCTCCATGGAATATTAAAACCATAACACGGCCTGTTCATTTTGTAAGGGAAGAGTTTAGATCCCCTAATGCTACGTGGGATCCTTTTCCTGCACTGAAAGGTCCATAAGGAATGACAGCGTGTCACATTTAGTTATATCGCTCACCCATCTTGGTCCCAGCACCGTCTGACACTTTTTATTGTAATAATACTCCTTCACTGGATCAGATTTGGACGTATAGGAAGTGAGCAGACAATCCACAGCTAGCTGAGCCTGTAAAGACAACACCGTGTGCAGGCCATTCTTCTAACAAATATAATCAATTCATAGGATGATTTTGAAATTGTGAAACCTGGAATTAGAACCGTACGAAAGCCCGACCGCCAGCAGGCGTTCGACAAAAGCGTCCGAAGCCCCCTTTCAAGACGGCTGGGCTGGGCGTCCAAATATCAGCACCATTTTTAAAACCCAAGGACAGAGAGGGACGATTCCATCCAGGGCAGACGTTCACCTCTGAACTCGCCCTGAGACCCTGCAGGAGAAAATTATCTTACCAGGCCGAAGTAGGACAGCGCTGAGCCAATGTACACCACCAAGTCAATGAAGCTGAACCTCCCAGCCTTTGAGGAAAGAGAAGAAAAGTAAGGAAGGGTGCCACATTAGGGAAATCTGCTAGGGCTTTTGTGTTGCCTCCATGGGAATACAGGTAGTCCTCAACTTACGACAGTTCCCTTAGTGACCGTTCAAAGTTACAAGGGCACTGAAAAGAGGGACTTATGCACACGTTTCACATTTTACAACCATTGCAGTATCCTCATGGTCAGCTGATCAAAATTCAGGCACTTGACAACTGACTCCTATTTCTCCTTTGCCGTCTGTCAGGCCCCTCAGAGTTACTTCTGAGTAGTTCCTTCTTCACTTATAAACACAAATCTTTAGCCAAACTAAAGTCGACTATTTGCGTCATTAAAAATATTCTGAGAACTTCAAGGGAGGGAGGGCATCTTAACTTTCTTCCTCCCAAACAAATTATCTAAACTTCCCTGTCTCATGGTCCTCTGGAATGCAGCCCCTCCCTCCCTCCTTTTGGGAATCCAGACTACATTCCACTACATCATCCCACCAAGGAAAGTCTGAACGCAAGGAGAGGGAATATGTTCAGGATCAAAACCAACAAGGAGGGCAAGATTTAACCTCTCCACATGGACTGCTAGAGACGCACCCCAGTCGGGATCTCCGCCCCAACGAACTGACTGACAGCCCCACCTGAAACTGAACTGCCTGCAGGGAGAGGGATATTTCTCATTTGAATTACGTGGGGTTTTCTCATCTACACTTAAGACACAGGGAAGAAAGCCAAGTCGCATTTACCGTGCCAAAGATGAGGATGTCGAAACGGATGCCGTACGCTTTGATCAGGGTCCTTTCCTCCCTTCCACCCGGCTGCTTGTAATACCTGGCAAATCTAGAACGAGCAGACAGGAAGGACTGAGAAGCTCTGGGGCCTCCGGGTTCAACTCTTAGGTGTTCACTGAGCGTGACAGTTTCCCTGCAGGCGTCTTAACACCAGGCTAGGTAGCATCATCAGCACGATGCCCCAAGCACACTCCAAAGAAGAACTGAGGAGGGACTATGACATCCACCTGCTGACTGTAGGGATGCTAGGATTGTCAAAAGTGCAAGGACCAGTCATACATCATTTTCTCAAAGTTTTGAGCCATTTCTCAAAACAAATGGCTGCAGGTTGAGCACTACCGACATTGAAGTTTCCACCACACTTCAAGAAAAGTGGAAAGTGAAAGAGGAAGAAGGATGACCACTGGGTCCTCACCTGCACCTAGCAGGAATAGAATCAAAAGGAATAGAATCACAAGGAACATTGCAACAGAAGCCAGAAGTGAAAACAGGATGTCCAACATGCTGTAATAACACAACTCTAATGACTTTAAAGAAGGGGAGACATGATAGCAGTCTTCCAATACTTGAGGGGCTGCCACAAAGAAGAAGAGATCAGCCTATTCTCCGAAGCACCAGAAGGCAGACCAAGAAGCAACGGATGGAAACTAATCAAGGAGAGAAGCAACCTAGAACTAAGGAGAAATTTCCTGACAGTTAGAACAATTAATCAGGAACAACCTGCCTCCAGAGGTTGTGAATGCTCCAACACTGGAAGTTTTTAAGAAGAGACTGGACAGCCATTTGTCTGAAATGGTATAGGGTTTCCTGCTTGAGTAGGGGGTTGGACTAGAAGACCTCCAAAGCCCCTTCCAACTCTGTTATTATGACCATCACATGGAAAAGTAAAACAGAACCTGGAAGGTCCTCCCTCTTGATCTGTGACATCCCCTAAAAAGAACCTCAAAAACCACAAGTACTTGAATATCCATTACCTAAAGTTGTAGCCCGGGTACAAGGCCTCGTTGGTTCGTTTGTCATCCAGGCGCCGGAAGCCGTAGTTGGGTCTGCAACGGTGCATCCATTTATCTAGATTGCAATCCCAGTTAATTTCGATGCCGATGATGCCTCCCTTGGAAAGAAAACCATCAGAGAAGTAAGTTTGCAAGATGGATTGAGCAGGCGAGAGAGCAGGCATTCCTCATTTCCCCCATTTTCTGCCTATGACACAAAACTGCATTTGTACAAGGAGCTGTTACAGCAGCTCTGCCACTTTCTCTTGTCAATTTCTCGAAAAAGAAAAAGAAAAAAGAAAGAAAGAAAAAAGAAAACTTTAAATTTGCCTTGAATTCTCCTTTTCGCAATCAAATTCAACATTTGCCCTTCTTAACTCAGTCCTTCCGACTAACAGCAGCCAAAAAGTCGACAAAGACCTCTGGCCACTTTCAAAATGACACCCACCTGAACGGCCAGCTCTGAAAACTTCTCTCCTGCCTCTTCAAGAATATCTCCCAGACGGAAAATTGGGCAAAGTGAGGCTTTGTGTTTGCTGTATACACAGGAAATATTGAATTCTGGGGGAATATTTCTTCTGCAAGGAATAGTGAGAACAATTAATCAGTGGAATGGCTTCCCTCCAGGTGGTGCTCCAACACTAGAGGTCTTTGTCTGGAATGGTAGAGGGTCTCCTGCTTGAGCAGTGGGTTGGACTAGAAGACCTCCAAGGTCCCTTCCAACTCTGTTATTCTGTTCTATTATTCAGAAGAGGAGCAGTTTTATCAGCCTAGCCACACAAATGCATATTTAACAAAGTGCCGGCTCTCGAAAGACCAAGCATAGATGCTCTTTCGGGAATTTAACGGTTAACACTTATTTCTATTTTGTTGAAGTCCAGCCCCGCAAACATAGATTTTAGAAGCTCTGCCACTTCTTAGCAAACAGAGGTTGATTTCCCAGGGAGGAAGCAGGAGGGACCCTCCTTTTAAATACAGCCATCCCAAGCCAAGAGCCCACTTACGTTGTATAATTAAATTGTGGGAAGTGGATGTTGTTTTTTATAAGCACGGTGAAATTCTCAGCGCTGTCCAGAACGGCTGGCCTGGAAGGATGAAAATATCCAAGTCAGTTCTCACTTAAGTAAATAGTCACAACCATCATTAGACAATTTAATCATCTTAGCTGGAGGCCTGTTCAAGAGGCTGTAAAATTGGGGCCTGTAAAATGCAAGCCAGAAAGTGGCTGTGGTTTTCACCGATTGGTTTCTCTGAACAGTCTTCAAGGATGGCCCTCAAAGATGCCTTGTAGTTATTGATGCAGGAAGCCATTAAGGCAGGGATGTCCGACCTTGACAATTCTAAGACTTATGGACTTCAAGTCCTAGAATTCCCCAGTCAACAGGAAATATTGGAGTTGAAGTCCGGAGATCTTAAAAGTTCCCAAGGCTGGGCACCCCTGCATTAATTCAGAATGGAAGGGGACACCTTGGATCAAAATGCAGAACGGAGTAAAACAGGATACAGGAGCAGCTAAGAAAAACACCTACGTTGGGGCGGTTTTGGCCGACTCCACGGGACACCAAGCGGAGACTTCGCATGTGTTGACGGTGCTGTTGTATTTCACACACTTGCCCGTCTGGATGCCTAGTGAGGGAAGAGACCCCCATCTCATTCAAGGACCCTCATCGGGAGACCAAACAGCTTCTCGGGAAAGGAATTTCAAACGGAAACTCTCTTACCATTACCCTGTGGGTCTACACGGCCTTTCATACAGCTTTTGTTCGTAGTACACACTGCTTTGGGGAGAGGAAACTGAAAGGATAAAAGGAGAAATACATCTAGCAGAAAATTCCACTTCAGTCTCCCAAAAGCACAGCCTCCACTTTTGAGGCTTATCAGTCTCTCTCTCCTAACAAGTTGCGTCTGGATAATATTTTCCTATTATCCCTTTTTTCCCATGACGCTGGTTTTTCCTCCAGGACAGATCCTTGGGAGTAGCTCATCACAAGAGATCCCTTCCCAGCTTGGTCTTTGTCCAATTCCCCTGCAACTCACAAAACGCCCCTGCTTTCCACAGCCACCTTCTAAACAGGTAGAAACAGATACAGCCTGGAGCCTACTTGCCAATTTTCTAGCAGATGGGAAGGGAATAAATTAAAAAAAACCTTGCCTGAAGAATATTGGGCTAGTCATAACCTGCTTCACACTGTTTGAAAACCAGGGATATGGGTGGGACACACAAACCAGCACATTACTGTATCCATAGAAAACAGTTTAAATTAAATATAAATATGTTTGCCAAAATAAATCGCAATCTTTCACCCCACTCCCTAAATATTAAGGTCAGGCATGAAATTTTGACTTTGGGTTTTGCTGATTGGATGAGTTTGTTGCCATAGAAATGGGTAGTACCTATTAGTACGTAACAGATTAAAGTTTGCCTTAAAAGTAAAAAGTTTGCCTTCATTCGTAAAATGTTATGTTTGTAACGTGGCTGTCACTTTTTCTTTCTTTTTCCCCCCCTCTCTAGATTACACTTCTTTCTCTTCCCTTTTTCCTGCCCCATTTTCCCACTATTTTCATTGTCTTTTATATTTTAGCTCTTGGTAACCTTAATAAAATTATTTTTTAAAAAAACAACATAGAGCAGATATGAGATGCTGGTACCTCGGGGCAAAGTCCTTGGATCTGATTTTCAGTCGTGATGATGTTAGTCAGTACAAAAAAGGAATTCACACCCTACACGAGCGAAAGAGAGGGAGAAAAAAACAGATTCACTTAGGTTGGTCTCCTGAAAAATAAATCTGTTGCAACAACTGTATGATCTCACATGGATTCCTTCGAAAAGAAGCCCAGGAGAATGAGAACGTTAAGGTCACGAAGAGGCTAGAGGGTTTTTTCTAACTACAATTTAGGGGAAGAGAAAGAGGGGGACGCTCCAAGAATTCTAGTAGAAATTTGGGGTCACAGTTATCGTAGCAGGAGAGTCTTTCCTAATACATCCCTGTATTCTGAGGCTCAACTCTTTGCTTCACTGGGAACCTGACTGTTTTCTCCTTTTGCAGGACTCACCTGCCCAGGGATGGTGTATTCGGCTGTATCCCAAACCCTTTTGTCAGTCTGGGACACCCCCTTCACCTTCACGTGCACCGAGCTGATGACCGAATCTCTCTTCTGATAGCGTCGATCAGCCACCAGGGTGATACTGAAGAAACACACCGGAAAAGGTTTGACCCGGAGCGTTTGTTTCGTGTCCATTTCACAGAGGGGAGAACTGAGGTTTAGAAAACTCTCAATTGCCCGTTCAGAATGTAATCGATCTTGCTTCAGCAAAACACTTTTAAGCAAAACATGGCTGAAAAGAACACGCAAGACTGTGGAGTCTTTAGTGTCCCCTGAACTTGGTTGCTTTCTTGCAGACCTAGTTGGGTCATGAAAACGTCTGCAAGAAAGCCACCCAGCTCAGCGAGCACCAGGGACCCCACCGTTCAACCCTCAGCTACAAATATTCTTTTCTATTGATTAACATACAAGATTCCTAGGTTTGTGGATTGTTACTTATTCGGTTGAACTGCCCTAAGAGTCAGAAGCTGGGTCTTTCAGACTGGCTGGTTACATCAGAATATTTATTCCGTGTGGGTGGAAAGTTCATTTGCCAAAGTCACAAAGCTGCACTTGTCTGGATGAAAACAGCTTCCATTGAGCGATGTGCTTTGGAACCGGGGATCTTGTAAAAGGTCTCTAGAGAATTCCAGCCCTCTTTTGCTCCACTCAAGTGAAAAAGTGTCTCCGTTCTAGGAATCAGCTGCCTTCAGTGGTGACTCTTCTTGAAAATCCATTCTTGCATGTTCAGTTCAGCGCACGTCCATCAGAGATCATAACAACAATACAAGCGTATAATGTGACAAGGTTTAGACAAGGCTCTTTCAATGAATATTTTTCCACCGCAAGAGATTCCCAACAGTTTCTGTATTGTATTTGGGGCAGAAAAGTGGGGGGGGGGAGAAAGCATTTCTTCTCCTGCTTAGGCAAGGGATTGGACTAGAAGACCCCCAAGATCCCTTCCGACTCGGTTATTCTGTAGTCTATATCCTATATTCACGACATCTGATGTTGGTGGATCAGATGAACAAGAAGTTGCTCAATGGAAAGTTCCCGTCAAGACGGTAGCATTTACGGTCTGTTTTTGAGAGCAAACTCGTGCTGTGGTTATTATTTCAGATCTTGATCTGGAGAGGGATACCCACAGCCCAGATCTCCCCCTATGCCTCCCCTCCCCACTGATTTAACCGAATCTTCCCTTTCCAACTTACCTAACGTAGAGAAAAACCAGAAAATGGATTGTCCACTTTAGGCTCCCGTACCAAAAGCTGTAGATGCGTATCACTTTGTTGGTTTCGAATTCACACACGCTCTCCAAGCTGCAGCAGGCTGCCATCCTGGAAGGAGAAAAAAGAAAACCTGTCTTCTGGCTTTCAGTATCGCACAGCACAGAAAAACCGTGCAGCTCCCCAGGCGGGAGCCAGAAACAACAATTAAAAACCACAACCCCACAAATCTTAAAGGCACAGGGGGAGGAAATGAATTTCTTTCCCCAAAGGGACTTGTGGCTCCCAGGCCAAAATCTTTCTCTCTCTCTCTCTCAGTCGCCATGAGTTCCTCAGAGGTTTCCTAATCCTAATTTTAGGAAAGGGTTCCAGGGTGATTGGGGAAAGGAGGGTTCCCCCCTGCAAATGAAATGGGGTTTTAAGTCCCAAACTAGGCCCCCAATTCCCGGCTTGTTGGTCTTCAGGTAACCAAAGACCTGGTCTTATGCCCCCCCACCTCCATTCTGTTTGGAACCTGGCTCAAGATCCCAAAACAAACAAACTCACTTGGAGTTCCGGCAACAAAGTTTTATTTAAAAAGAAGCATTTGCAAAGGCTTGGTGAGCTGAAACACGTGGGAGTTCAGAGCTGTTTGACACATTTTTAGATCCTAGCCCTCCCACGCAGATTCCCCCCCCATCCCCTATCGCTCTCAACACCCCTTCCCCAATCATCTGATAACTAATCCGGACGGCCTAAAACCACTATCCCTCCCATGTTCCAGGAAGCCCCTTTGTGCACGTCTTATCTATCACCATCTAATTTTCTGTGAACAAATGTATATATTTCCTCTGCTTGCGGTTTCAATTAGCCAGCAACTTCTGCTTTTCTTATTTGTATATAGTTAATTTATACAAAGCAGCTTTTCACCCTTCTTTTTTTTTTTTTGCAGGGTTTCCTCGTGGTCCCCCATCCAGGGATGATCCAAGCATTTTAGTTTTGGGCAAATCGCCCCGAGGGACTCAATGCATCCCACCATCCCCATTCTTGGGGAGCAGCCCCTTCCAAAGGGGAGGCATTCCCATGCAACTGCCCAAACCCTCCGCCAACAGGCTGTGGATTCTGGGCGTTGTAGTCCTACCCCTCCCGAGGGCCAGAAAAAGGGGAGGCCGAGCTCATTCACCATTCGGCCGCGAGACCATCCTCTTTCGCCCCTTCATTTTTTTAAGAAAGACTTTTGTTTTTTTTCCTCCTTTCTTCTTTAGCTTTCTCGCGTCGCGCAGGCGCGGTCGGAGCTTTTCCCTCCTTCCCGCGAGCGCGCCTCGCCCCGCCCCTCTCCGCGTCGTCGCCTGGAAGGGGCGTGGCTTCCTTCGCCTGACAAAGCCGCGCCGCCTCCTCCTCTCCGCCCCCTCCCTCCAGCTCCGCCGCCATGCCAGTCACGTGACCGGAACTGGGCCTCCGTCGCCTAGCAACCGTCGCCACAGGCCTGGGCGCTTCCGAGGTGGGGAAGGGGCGCGAGGGGGTCCTTGGGCCTGCTTAACATTTGGGGGGGGGAACTGAGGGGCTTCGTTTCCTCCCAGCCTGAATGGGGAGGGCTGCGCTGGGCCCCCCAGGAGGATGCAGTGGGGAGCCCAGGGAGGACCGAGGGGTCCTGGGCCCAGATTTGGGGGGGGGGGAAGGAAAACTGGTCTTTATTTTTCTGAGAGGGAGGTGGGATTCACCCAAATAGGTCAGTTCCCCACTTCAAGAAGGGTGAACTACAACTCCCAGAATTCCCTAGCCAGCTTGTCTGGCTGGGGAATTCTGGGAGTTGTAGTTCACCCCCTCTTGAAATTGCCCAGATTGGGAAACACTGTAAGAAACTGAGGGGAGTTCCTTTTCTGGGTCTAAACCCCAGAAACCCACACATTTTTCTGGCTGCCAGAAATGCCCCATAGCACCGGCAACTTCTTCCTCAACCTTTCAATCTCGTTCTCTTTTTTCTCTCGTGCAGATCCTTTTCTGGACACCATCATGAGTGACCAACTGAAATTCATCGTGGAGAAGCTCAACAAAGAGCCGTTCAAAAAGAATTTCAACTTAATCACTTTTGATTCCCTGGAGTCAATGCAGCTCTTACAATTGCTCAGCGATGTTCTGGGCGAGATTGACCCCAAGGTACGTCGGACTTTACCAGGTCAAAAATCTCTGTTTGGAAAACTTGTTGATGTCTTATTAGCTGGAAGTGTCTGCTCTGTTTCCCCCCCCCCGCCGCATCCTACGGAGGGTTGGACTAGATGACCCTGGGGATCTTTTTTCAGCTTTGGGGTGATGATTCAGTCTGATGGCTTGATCCTTTAAAGTAGTCTTATCCAAGCTGGCCCCAGATCTGGCAAAGGCTGGGCTGATAGGGAGCTGTGGATGTTTTGACGAACTTATCTGCAGGGTGTCAGACTGGGCAAGGCTGATATACCAAAAGCAGATCTGGCTGGCTTAGTGGCTTGAAATGGGACCCTTTTCTTCACCTTAATAGACTTAGATGTGCCAAGACTGTGCCCATGAAAGGGAAAAGCACATCTGACTGCATTCCTAATGTTTTCACTTACGGGAAATTACATAGAACAACCCCAGGCTGTTAATATTTATTATATTTGATCCGTTTAAGCTGCATACAGTAATGAATTTCATTATGTCAGTTGTACCTCAACTATGATTAAACCTTTCAGCACATCGTTGACATTAGAGAAGAGTTGCCAGAACACACAGCGAAACGGATGTTGACCCTGCTTGGCATTCTTAAATACAAACCTCCAGGAGGTACCTGTGACTTGTAAGTAGTAGTAATAGTAATAATAAAAATAATGTATTAAATGTATATACTGCCCAACTCTCAGTGACTCTGAATAGTTTACAAACTACTAAAAACATTTTAAAAAACAAAGGAAAAACACAACCCTTTTCACAAAACACATTTGGGATTGTTATAAAATCAGCTGTTGAATGCAATACTATCTCTTACAGAGCCACCAGTTTGCTAATTTACGTGTCACATAATACTTTACTGTTATTGTTGTTTATTAGATCATCTGAATTTTGAGGACTAACTGTGTTGAGGCGTTGAATGTAAGGATGGGGACAATCATGACCATCTTAGAAAGTTTGTTTTGTATTTATCTTTCCACGTCAGCAATAGTTTATGAATATATGTGGGAATAAGTCTCAATAAAATCAGTTGGACTCCGCTTCCAAACGACCATTATTGATTTTGAGATTAATTTTGTTCAGGCTGGATTGGACTGCTGCTGCATATACTGTATTTATTTCAGCTCCCTTTATTCATTCTACTTAACGCTAGAGGGTGCTACTGTTTTAACGCAAAGCACCAGAGTCTTTTTTTTTTTCTCCCCAAGAGCTTACAATATAAAATGGACAGTGCAGCTTCAGTTGATTAATGGCAAATCGGTAGCTGCTTATTAGTTCATTTCTCTGAACTGCAGCCATGATTGTATAGTGGAATTTGCCAGGTTTATCTGAAGAGAATGGCATTTAGCAGGGTTCCAGGGCTAAATTAAATCGGGCATGTGTTGTGGCCAGCTTTTACAGGCAGCCTCTCAGACACAGTTGCCGAGAAAGGGAGAGTTTAATTCATTTGTCTGAATAGATACAGGGGGTTGGGCCTTCATCAAGGCACAGTCTGTGAGGGCAGCTGGGGATGAAAACTGAAAGCGTAGAAATTAGCAGCCTGTTGGAAAATTTAGAAAAAAGCTGACCAAAATTGGGAGACGGTTTGATTGATGAAGAATCACACAAGGAACTGGTGTCCTTGAGGTTGAAAAACTGATTCAACCGACCCTCAACCTTTTGATAGCCATGCAAGATACTGCTAACTCTTGGCTGCCATTATTCTTAATCTTTGCACAATTTTATTCCTGTTATTGCAGGAGCGCCTTCCGCCAAGGGTTAGTTACAGGAAGCAAGCCTGTCATTCACCCGGTCCTGCATTGGCTCCTTCAGAGGACCTCTGAGCTCAAGAAAAGGGCCTACTTGGCCCGCTTTCTGATCAGGGTCGATGTGCCAACTGAGTTCCTCCAGGACGACACGGTGGCTGATACGAACAGACAGGTAGCCTTGACCGTATGCAAGAAAGCTAGGCACCTGGCTTGTAAGACAGGCAAACCAAAGGCAGAGCATGGACAGACCTCTTTGGGTTTGTTTAAATGTGTCATAATTTCGGCATTAGAGATCACCTTTTTCTTTTTGACAGTATGAAGAACTGATGGACGCTTTCAAAAGCTTGCATAAAGAGTGTGAACAGCTCAAGACATCTGGCTTCTCAACAACAGAAATAAGAAGGGTAACGAAATGTTGAGATTTCTGAACAGCTGTTTGAGCGTAGAAGCCCCAGGGCCATCGGCTTTGCCATGATCTCAATCAGGAAATGTTATAATTTGCACCCACTATATCATGACATTATTTTGCGATACATCATTATGTCATGACAGGTATGATGTCACTTGCCCCCCTCGCCTCTCCCCACAAGCATCCACATTTCTCAAGTTTTTTAAAAAAACAAAACTGCAACTCCCAGAATTACTCGTTCATAGCTGGCTAGCTGGCTGGGGAATTCTGGGAACTGAAGTCCACAGGTCTTAAAGTTGCCAAGGTTGGACATTCCTGCTATTAAGGAAGACCTAATTAGTGCACTTAAAATAACACAATCGGAATCCTAAGCTGAATTCACTGATATTCTCTTTGTAGGGATTTCTGGTTTGCGGCAATATGCCACTGATTTGTGTATGTGTTACTACCAGGATATCACCGCAATGGAAGAGGAGAAGGACCAGCTGATGAAGCGAGTGGAGCGGCTGAGGAAGCGGGTAAGTGGGCGGAGGGAGACACCCTACCCCTGGCTTGCAAGTTTCACCCGGGAATGCAAACAGGCATTAAGGTTTACAAGCTGTGAGTCTGGAGAAGGCATCCAGTGTCTCCCAGGGGGAAAGGCAATCTTCTCCAGGCAGGCCTCCAGAAGGTCTAAAGATCTCCAGCCTGAGGAGACGACAGCTCCTCAGAGCCCTGAGGACAGGAAGGAAGCATGGCGCGAACCTGTGAGACACACGATCCCTCGGATGGCTTTCTCCGCTCACTGGCTCGGCTTGCCCCCTTTCTCCCAAGGTGGAGACGGTGCAAAACCACCAACGGATGCTTGAGATGGCCCGGCAGCTCCGGGTGGAGAAAGAGCGGGAGGAAAACCTCACCCAGCAGAAGCAAGAGCAGAAGAACCAGGTACTGGCCCAACTCTTCTCCTCGGCCTCCTGGGTTTCCTCAGAGATGCCAGCGTTCTTATTGGTTCGGTGCAGGTACTCCTTGACTTACAACAGCGACCGTTCGAAATTACAAGGGCCCTTTTCACACTTGCGACCCGTTGTGGCATCCCCGTGGTCCCATGATCAAAATTCAGACGCTTGGCAATTGACTCGCATTTACGACGGTCGCAGTGTCCCGGGATCTCGTGAGCCCTTTTGTGACCTTCCGACAAGCAAAGTCAAACGGGGAGACCAGATTCACATAACAAGTGTGCTATTAACAACGGCGGTGATTCATTAAACAGCTGTGGCAAGGAGGGTCATAAAACGGGGCAAAATTCACTTAATGAATGTTTCACTTAGCAGCAGAAATTTGGGAGCTCAGTTGTGGTCGTATGTTGAGGACAACCTGTATTCCTTTTTTTTTCTTTATTGATTCTAAAGCTCCCAAGTCGTGGAGAAATCGGGATTCGCGTGAATTCCCTGTCTGCTTCCCCATTCCAGACCTTGGGGCGCAGGGGCCTTGTTTGCTAGCCTCTGCCGTCTTCCTCTGAGTTGACAGACGAATCCCCTGAGATTTTCTCCCCTGTGTTTCACCAGCACAATGTTAACCGGGTCCATTTTAAAAAAAGAAAGAAAAGTTGTGCAGAGTTGGCACAACAGGTGGACAGTTTGTCTTGCCAAATCTGCCATCTCAATGTCCCCTGATTCCTGGGAGGGAACAGAGAGCGCTCTGTCTGTGTTCTCCATCTATTTAGCCACTCTTTCATAGAGGTTCCCATTTTGTTTGGCACGAAGCTAATATTTCCAAAGAATCGGGTGGCTGAATTAACCCCCTGCTTATTTTCCCCTCCCCCCAGCTTTTTCACGCAGAGCAGCGGCTACACCGAGTCCGACGTCAGCTCAAGGATATGCGTCATGCAGCCGTGGATTCAAAGCCAGAAAGTAAGTGGGAGTCTTCCGTATTCCCCCCCCCCCATAAACACACACACACACACACACACACTCTGCCTTCTGGGTCTTCTGCCAAAAACACTCACTTAAACAACACTGCACTAAAAAGCAAAAGCTATAATTTTTTTTCCCCGCCTCTCCGAATTTACGTGTTTTCATTTTCAGGGTTTGGCTTGGTCCAATTTCACAGCTTCCTAATTTCTGTTTGTCTGGGAGAATGCTATCGCGGTGAAGGGTTAGTAGGGCCTTTTTTTTAAGAAAACCAGATTGATCTGCTCAAAGACAGCCCCTTACCCTATTTTTAAAACTGAAGCTCTGTAAGATTGCCTTTCCTCTTGGGCTGTAGCAGGCCTGCATGGTTTCCCCCTGCGTAAGCTGGACTAAGATACACTCAGGTCTTTCCTGCTAAGAACTGATGACATCAGCTGCTGACAGAGCTGAATAACACTTGAATGATGGCTGTCTCAGATTAAGTACTTTAAAGACAGCCGGATTTTCAGTTGGAGTGCTTTAAGTTATCGCTGTGGATAGGCAGAAGGTCGGGAAGCCTGGTTGAGATCCCAATTAGCCTCTGAGCTTGCTAAGGAGCTACTTTACACCAGCAGAAGGACTTTGCAGTCTTCACCCTGTTTATTTTATTTTGTTTTTCGGTAAGCCCAGACTATATAAACTGCTTTGCTGGAGAATCATTGTGACGAATGCAATCAGAAGCCCCAAATCTTGCAATAGGCCTCATTCTGCCGTAGAATTTTTTTTTTCTTTTTCCTGGCAGAAATGAAAACCACCGGTGTTTATAGTGTCAACAGAACGACTTAAATCTTTGGTCCTTGTCTCTGTTGTCATCGACACGAGGATTAGAAGAATTAGATTCAAGAATGTCAAAGCCGAAAAAATCAACAACAGCTCCCACTTATTTTTACAGACGGTTGACAGGAGCTTTCCAAATGTCGCCAACAAGTATCCCGACTTCTGCTTTTGAAATCGGCGTAAACAGCCGGGGGCCTCTTCTGTGTAAAAAGAGAGTTTCAGCGTAAGGGTCCTTCCAAAGAGGACCTAGAGAATTATGCTGAACTACCTTTGTGATTTAATCTTCCCTAGCGTTTGAAGCGTCCCTTGTTTTTTTTTTAATGACTTGAACAGGCCGTCCTCGACTTACAACAGTTCATTTAGTGACTGTTCAGAGTTACAACGGCACTGAAAAAAAATGACTGTTTTTCACAGTTACGACCTTTGAAGCCTCCCCACGATCATGTGATCAAGCTTCAGCCCCTTGGCAACTGACTCATACTTATGACAGTTACAGCGTCCCGGGGTCACATGGTTCCCTTTTGCGACGTTCTGACAAGCCGAGTCAATGGGAAAGCTGGATTCGGTTAACAACCGTATCGTAAAGTGGGGCAAAGCTCACTTAACAAATGTCTCTCTTAGCCACAGAAATTTTGGGCTCCATTGAGGTCATAAGTCAAGGACAACCTGTAATACGTTTGTGGCAGCCCAAAAAATCAGGTAGAATTGCTGACTGGCTGGGGAATTCTGGGAACTGAAGTCCAGACAATCTTAAAGGAGCCAAGGTTGAGAAATGCTGGCCCAAAGAACTTCCTAGTTCTGGTCCAGCATCTTAGCCCCCATTATGTGCTGGCTCTCCCATATAGCAACGGGGCAGGTTTCCCCCTGGATGATGCACGGGTGACTGCCTGTCTTGTTTTGCAAACAAAGTGCCAGCCTCCTCAAGGGCCTTACGTCTCAGGAGAGAAGCGCTATTCCTCGTGAACTGAGCCACAGGCAATTTGATGGAGATGGCTGCATCTTCCCCTCTCCTTCGCGCACGTTCCTTAGCACAGCCTCACAAAAACAACCTCCCTCTTTTCCCCCCTGTGTGGGCAGATCGCTTTTTTTTCTCTTTTCTTCTAAGAAGAGGTAGAAAAAAGTGACTCCAGATGAATACGAACTCACGGCTTTTCGCACGTAAACGATGCCGCTGGCAAAATGGCCCTCAAGGGACCGGAAGCCCTGGGCAGGGTCTGGCCTTAGACGCTCCACAAAGAAACATTGGAAAAAAGAGACGATGAAGAATAAAAGAAAACCCTAAAGCACACTTTATTTTTTTTCTCTCCTCTAGCCTCCTTGCGAAAGTCGAGATTCTTTGAAGGCGCTCAGTCAAATTAGCACAGCTTTCCATCCCCAGGGGGCCAGTCTCACAGTCTGAAGTGGGCAGTTTTTAAAGTAGACCCCTCCTCCCCCCATGTGTGCATTTGGGAACAGTCGCTGACTGGCAGGATTTGCTGGGTGACTCAGGACCGGTTGCAGTCACTTATTACATTATTATTATTATTATTATTATTATTATTATTATTATTATTATTATTATTATTATTATTATTATTATTATTATTATTATTATTATTCACAATGGACAAGGAAGCTGGCATATTTTTTTGTTTCTCTCTGAAAATGCATTTGTAACCAGTGACTCTACTTTGTGTTCCTGCTGCCTATTAAAGCCACAAGATCCAAAAGTTGGAAAGACCCGCTGTGTCTGCTCTAAGAGGTGGAGAAGAGCTTGACTGATGTTTCTCTAATGTTGATGTCTTAAAGATGTGTGGATTTCAACTCCCAGAATTCCCCAGCCTTCTTCCAGTTGCCAAGGTTGAGAAACACTGGCCTAGGCAGAAAATTCTTCTTCCATTTTCTATCCCTGTTCAGGAAATGGGGGGGAAAAAATGACATCTCTTTCTACAAAAATCTATGTGCTTTGGGGTTTCTCCAGCTTATTTTTTATATGCTAACATGCCGTATATTTATCTCTGCAAATTGAAACCCGGGGGAGGTCCCTCCTTATTGGTTCCCACAGAAATTAATGCAATCTGCCGCTAAATAGCTGGGTCTAAATTACAGTTATTACAGCCTGACGCTAAATGGCCCTCCTCCTCCTCCCTTTGTTTAGACACATGTGGATGTGAGGGTTTTTGTTCTGCTTTGTTGTTCAGGCTTAATGAAGAGTCTAGAAGAAGAGACAAAGTTCAACACTTATTTGGTCTCCGAGAAATTTCCTAGAGAGCTGGAAACGAAGAAACAGTCCTTGCTGCTCTTGCAGAAAGTGGTGGTTGAGCCAGCCATGGGCCAGTCCGATCTCAACGAGCTGGAATCCAAAGTAGGTGGGCAGGAAGATAAAACGCCTGCAAAAAAGCAGAGGGCACCAAGGACCCCTCATTTCAATCCTGAGCTGCAGATAGTCTCCTTAATAGGGAAAGTAACACACACACACACACACACACACACGAACCAACTAACAAACCTGTCCTTTTGAAAGCCACTGTAGACCAGGGCTGAGGATAATTGTCCGCAGTAGCAAATGGCAGCAAATGGCTTTTTCCAAGTGATTTGACAGGATGGTCAAATAGTTTGGACCATAAACCCCATCGTCCCCAGCCAGCCTGAATAAGAGCTGTTGCTCAACATGTGGAGGTTCAGGTTTGTCCTTGACTTACCACCACAGCTGAGCCCAAAATTTCTGTTTGCTGAGCGAGACAAATGCATTTTGACCTGTTTTACGACCTTCCTTGCCCGCAGCTGCGGTTGTTAAGTTAGTAACACGATTGTGAAGTGACTCTGGCTTCCCCCATTTGCTTGTCAGAAGGTGGCAAAGACTGTTCTAAATATTAAGGGGGGGAGCCCTCTGGCCAGATGGCCTTGGGGAGCCTCCCAGTAAGAGGGAAGCATAAGAATGGACATATTGGGAGCCATCCAAGCTGGTATCAGGCTGGCTGGGAAGCATGGGCGCTGTAATCCACTCCCTTGTGAAGGCACCGGGTTAGCCTGAGGTGGCTTAACATTCACCCTCTATTACAACTGCCCAGGCATTGTCCACGTGCCCTGAAATAGATGGTGGGGGTCACCTCAGGATAACCTTGGCCTCCCTTTGGGATTATCTCAGGAGACCCTTTTCAACGTTCAGGAGCTGGAACGACAAAACGTTCCTTTGACTCAGCGTCCTCATTCATGAAATGCCAGAAGATTCCAAAGTCAGTTTTCTCCCTCTGGGTAATAGATACACGAATCAATATCCATTTCCTTATTATTAGCACAAGCCCCAAAGAAGCCTTGGTAGTTAAGGTGCTGTCAGGCTGTTTATTTTTAGTAAAATATCCCCCTGAGCGAGGAGCCGAGAAACAGGTATTGGTGAGCGTCTCTTTCATTGTTTGACCGGCTGAGAAGCAGGACAGTGAGCTGGAGGGAAATCAAGAGATTTACGGAGAAATAGATTTAAATAGGTTTACAGGTGCAGCTTTAGGCCCAATAAAATGCCTTGATTTACACAGTGTCATTCTAACAAGTAGGAATGAAAGAGAAGGTGGTGAAAGATAAACCACAGCAGTCAGGATGGGGAAACTGAGACTTTAAAAGTATGGATTTGGCTGTAAAACTGGAGACGGCCTTGAAACCAATCTCAGTGGTTTAAGTAGGTAATATAATAGCTGTAGTTTAGATCTGCAGTCCCAGTGCAGCCTCCTCACCCTGTATTTTCTCAATCACCGCTTTGAGCATAGTTAATAACGAATCATTGTTCCAGATATACATTCACCTTCATAAGACTCATCATTAGCTGGTTTTTGATAGAATATAGGCAAGTTTAAGCCACGAATGCCTGCCTGTTCGCTGAATTTGTGTAAGCAGAGGCTGAACTGCACCTGTTACGGGATTTTAATTGGGATTCCTGAACAGAGCAAGTTGTTGGACTCTGTAGCCTAACAACCCCCTTCCGGCTCTAGAATTTTGGCTGGACTTGCTCGCTTGCTGACAAGCGGTTTTAACCGCTGAAAAGGACACCAAAATGAAAAACAGACGCTTGCCATTTGCTATTTTAGAACTGGCGGCGTAATTTTAGAAGAGTTCACTCAAAATTCCAGAAACTGTAGCGCCACCTCATACGGATCCACTATTGAGAAGTTAGCCTATTTCTGGAGCCTGATTTCTGCCTGCAAACTTGGTTTGCCTTTATTACCTTATTCTGTCATTCCAGATAAAGGAGGTCAATGCCCAAATCAATCAATTAATTGAGAAGAGGATGATGAAGTACGAACCGATTGACAGTAAATTTTCGATGTACCGGCAACAGGTAAGAGCAAGTTCTTTGCAGGACAAGCATGAGGAGAAATTGAATACAGGTGGTCCTCGACTTACGACCACAATTGAGCCCAAGATTTCTGTTGCTAAGTGAGACATTTGTTAGGTGAGTTTTGCCCCCATTTTACGACGTTTCTTGCCGCAATGGGAGAAGCCAAATTCGTCGCAATTAGTAACACGGCAAATCCAGCTTCCCCCTGGACTTTGCTTGTCAGAAGTTCTCAAAAGGGGATCACGTGATCTTGGGACACCATAGGTCCAGTTGGGAGAAGCAAAGGGCTTGGACAACACCCAGACTGAATGATTTCAGCCAGATGTTGGAAGGTGCCTTCAAAATTACCTGTACAAAAATCTGCCTTTTGAATGACTAAAAACACCAGGCTTGGCTTTCATTTGAAGACATTTGTCACATAAGTGGCTGCATGTTTTCCCTGTGGTATTTTAGATGTAATGTGTAGTTCTGCCTTGAATATTATTTGTTCTTGCGTTCGATGTTACATATTAGTAGGCAAAAACTGGCCTCCTTGAGCTTCTAGAGACTTCAATTCCCAGAATTCCCACCCCCAGCATGGCTGGACTTCAACTCCCAGAATACTGAATACTAAATTCCCTAATACTAAACCCCCGCAGGCCTCTATCATTTCGCGGAAGAAAACAGCCAAGGCGGAGGAACTTCAGACCGCCAAGGAAGAACTTGCCAGCCTGGAGAGGCAAATGTTCCAGAAGTCAAGCCAGGCTCGGGAGCTGGACGGGACAGAAGTCTTGAAAGGCGACGAGGTAAGGACTCTTCAGTGAGGGAAACAGGCCTTTTAGAAAAAGTGGGTTGGGGGGGGTCCCAAGATGGCTGCCCTTGTTATCTGGGAGAATCACGAGTGCAGGGCTTATTCCACGATCTTGGCGTCTGTAGTTCCCCTTTTAAAGGACCGTAGTAGATGTGTTTCAAGCCAACCGTTTGTAGGAGCAAAACCTCAGGAAGGCTCTGTGCTTTGTGAGCCTTGTTACTACACAGCAGCAACATGTCCTACCACAAAGGCAAAGGATCTTATCTGTTGCGTGTCCGTGAGGTTTTAAGTACATCGCACAAAATTCCACGTTGTCAACACATCTAGTGAGAACGATTAGTTGAGTAGCTTAATGTGAAAATAAATTACGGTGCTTATCGCAGCATGGAAATGGAGAATTAGCTGTTGAGTTTATGGCCGGATTACTAGATGGAATGAAGAAAAGATGAAGACCAGCAGACCTGCGTAAACAACTTGCAGGCTCGGTTCACACGATAGCCATGGATTCTCAGTCATGGCCCCTTTTCTGAAGCCATCTGAGCTACGTGTCTTCGCCACCTTTTGGACTGGAGTTCCATCAAAGAACAGGGCTGCCTATGAGAGTCACTAATGCTGAATAACCCCCTGTATTTCAGGCTTGGTCCTATACGGTTGTATATTTAAATCCTCCTCCTGCTCTCTCTTTCTACCCAATGGGTGATTTTTTTTTAATCTCCTGACCCTAACAAAGGTATTTGAGAGCAGAGAACCTCATGGCTGAGTTTGACCTTGGTGGAATTTATTTTGATTTCGCACAATTTTGATTTCGCCCTCCTTGTTTTTTTTTTTAACCTTCTTACGGATCTTAAAGGCTGCAAGCCACAAAGCAGCAATTTCTTTTCAAGGAATCAAGGATGCTGAACCCAGGTCTTAAGTCATGATCTGAATGTCCCCTTGCTGGTTTGGGGGCTTCCCTGGGATTCCTTCCCAGCTGTGAGAAAGCTGGAAAGTGCCAGCCTAAAGGCCCACTTGCTTTGAGATAGGCCATCCTTATGGGTTCGCAGAGGAGGTGCCAAATCTGGAGCCTGCATTAATACTTTAGACATGAAGTTTAGAGCCCTTAATGACTTGTGATGAGGCTTCAGTGGCTTCCAGCCTGCATCTCCCGCCCCAGGGGCTTGAATTGCTGGCCTGCCTCTCGCTAAGTTTGGTGCCCCAATGAATCAAGGCCTTTTCTGCCTGGACTTCTGCATGCCGGCAATTGTATCCTCAGCTGAGGTCTTAACACCTCCTCGCCAGAAAGGTCAGCTCAGGCTTATGGTTTTCCCCGTTGGGGAGGAGCAAAGAACAGCCTTTGTGCAAGCAGCAGAACAGAGTGGGTGGATTTATTTAAGAGTGGGGGTTTTTTTAGGGGAAACTGGGGAAGATGTGCAAGGGCTAAAGTGGGCTCTTGCAGAAGGGAGGACATTGTTAATAGGAAATCCAGGCCAGGCTGGATTTCCAGCCTGCAGCTATCGAACTGTAAAAATTAGGGAATTGCATGCCTGCACGAGAGAGAAGGGGAGATGGTTCAACTTACAAGTGATCTTAGGTAAACCAGGGATAATTTTAGCTCCCTTTCACGGTACATTGTACTCTTCGCAGTTGGACACCGGTTCCCGGGAGCCGGGATTCCTGGTAGGTTGGTTGTTTTCTTCCACGTAGTAATTAGGTCTTTATCCCATTTTTATAAGCAACAGAGGGTGACGGACATACATAATACTACTTCTTCCTCTTATTTCCCCTACAACAACAACCCTGTGAGGTAGCCCAGAACCACCCAGCCAGCTTTCGCACCTAAGGCAGGACTAGAACTCACCGTCTCTTGGTGATTGGCCACCATGGCAAACGATAAAAGAATGGGCCGGCAGGCTCAGTCAAAAGAGCCTTAGACGTGGCCGGTGTGAGCGGACCTTCGGCATTTGTGTCTCTCCTTTGTCCTTCCTTCGGTGTCTTGTTAGCCAAAGTTAGGAAGGGGGGAAAAATGGACAGATTAGGGTTTTGAAAACTGAAGAAAGATCAGCAGGTTTATTGTCAGCGACCTGAGCGTGTTCTGTCACGGCAGTTGGATGCCAGAAGATTTTTATTTAAAGCCCGCCTGGCCCTGCCAGCTGAAAACCCAGATGTTTCCCAGATGTTTCCATTTATCCAGAACTGGGGTCTCCAAGAAGACCTCCCGCTAAATTGAGAGCCGAAGCCTTTAAAATAAGGCAAACAGCAGAACGAACCAGAAATGGCAATTACTCTTAAGAATTGCCTGCCTGGCCCATCTAAAGAACGCATCCCATTTTTCTTCCATCAGAGTAGGATGGAGTCAGGCACATGGGTATGGGTGTGCTTTTCCGGTTGCCTTCCTCTTTCCTCTTTCTGGTAGACATTGAGGGGGGCTTATCTTCTGTCACCGAGAAGGGAAGGGATATCTAAGCCTCGTCCAGGCGGGCTCTTGAGTGAGCAATTGGTCCAGAGCTTGTCACGGCCAGCAATTTGCTCAGGCTAAATTCTCTTAATTGCCTGCCGAGCCCTTATTACATTAATTGGATGGGCAATAAAACTGCTCCACTGTTTTTAGTGTGCGGCTTCTGCAAACATTATTTTAGGGCTTCCCGCTGAGATAATGAAGGAGAGTCTCTTTTCATCTCATTGAGATGGCGGTTTGGGAGCTTAATTTTTTTCTTTTTTCTTTTCTTTTTTTTAACTTCTCCCTTTCTCTTCCAGAGTTGGGGTGGGTGGGTGGGAGGGGAAACTAAAGCAAGTGTTGATTCTCTGGTTTCATTTACCTCTTTCACCAAGTGAGGAGGCTGAAAGGAAGAATGCTTTACACAGCGCCATGACAGTGACGGATGGAAACCTGGTTTTATGCAGCTTGGGCAGGCGTGCCCCAGTCAACATACAGAAGAGTCCCTTTTCATGGCCATGTTCCCTATTTCACCCCCAAATCCAGGGGAACTCTCTAATTTTCCTGCTCCCCGTTTTATTTCTTCTGTGCTTGTTCTACAGAACTCCTGCTGAAAAAATCTCTAACCTCTCAGCCTGGTTGGGGAGAGGAATGCAGTCTGTTCAGCAGGATTTGGGGAGTTAAAGGAAGGCAAGGATTGGGGCGGGGGGGGCATTCTGCAGGAGTGAATTTGCATCCCAGCCAAGCAAAAAAACAGCAGTTTAGGCTCATGGTTGAAAGCTTGAAGTGTTTCCGTTTTTCTGCTCGATGCAACAGCACAGTGGTATTTTCCCCAGTATTTCTCCCGGCTTTTCTGTTAGGCTGAATTGCCAAGCAGATTGGGAAACAGTTTGCATAGCCACCTGTAATGAACTGGAAGCTCCCTCAGGTGACCAGACATAGCAGTTTCCGAAAACTGGGACTGAGGTTTTGCTTTTTAAAGGGATTTGTGGGGAGGCAGGCTTCTTTTCTGGAAGGCCATCCATCCTTGTAAATCTCCACAAGCAAACACAGACATTTTTCCTCCAAAAGATTGTTGCATAAAAAAACCTTTTGGGGACCCAACCTGCTTGGGTGCCCGTGAATATGCACCCTAACCCCCGACGGGGAGTTTACATTCTGCCATTCCCCGCTTACATCTAAACACGCATGATTTTCCCTCATCCCGTTGCTTTGTCACGTTGTGCCATTCCCGTGGCCTTCCCCAGCAATGTTCTGAGTGGTGTGGGCAGTAAATAACAGTTGTTCTCCAAGCAGTCAGGACCTCGCCTTTTTAAAATACGAGACGGTTAAAATACGAAACCTGGCTTTGCTCTCTCCCTGCAAAGTTTTATACAGCTTTTGGTTTAAAAATAGTTGCAGGAGCCCAGGGAAGTGGATGAGATCTTGGCAAAAGGTGGCAGATGAACTGGCATGATTTTAAGATGGGCTCTTTGCCCGGGAGACTTTTTATAGCGCCTACAGTTATTGGCGTGTGGGATTCTCACACAAGGTTCATCTCAGACTGTAAGAATTTGTTCTTCAAAAGGGACGCTATGTTTTACGCTGGGGAGGGCTCTCTGCACCCCAGACCTGGGGTTGTTGTTTTTTTAAAAAAGTTTTCATTGATTTAAGAAAACATTGAAAAGCCGAACCAAGAAATGCAAACCCTTTAGTTTTGGGGAGGTATATAAAACCCACGAATGTATCTAAACACCCATCTTTAAGGGTGAGCTTTCTATTTCTACCCAGGAGAACTTAATTCCTTGATTTCTCTCCCTTTTGAAAGAGAAGGGAGGGGTTACTTCTGTCGTAAGGGCGGGAGCTGGACCCAACGTCTTCGAGTGGCCGAGGATTGCAACCCTTCTCATTTCAGTTTAAGCGGTACGTCAACAAGCTCCGAAGCAAGAACACCCTTTACAAGAAGAAGCGCCTGGAAATAGCGGAGATCTCGGCTGAGTACGGCATCCTGCAGAGGACGGAAGAGCTGCTGAAAGAGCGGCACCAAGACATTCAGCAGCAGTTGGTGATTGTCCCTCCCGTCCTTAAAGCCGGGATGCCTGGGTGGGGGGGGGGGTTGATGGCAATGATCAGCGGGAGATCCTGAGCCCATCTCAAATTCCAGAGAGGATCCCGGGGAGATGAGGAAGAACGGCGAAGTCATTAGCTAGGTTTATGCAACGTGGCTTGTTTGGTTCGTGCGTGGTGGAAATCCAGCCAGTTGTGGCTTAGTGAATAATTGGGAATTAAACAAACCATGGTCTAGCTGGCGTGAATCCAGTCGTGCTGTCACAGGCTGAAACTTAACTGCAGACAGCCAGGTTACCATGGCATTTCACGTCCCATTGGCCACTTCTGTGATTATTCTCTTCTTTGCAAATCAGCCAAGGATTGTAGTTGGTCCAGTGTTTAAAGCTTTTTATCTTTTAAAGCAGGTTGCCCAACCTCGGCAGCATTTGAGACCTGTGGGCTTCAGCTCTCAGAATCCACCCTGTATCCCCAGGGAGATAAGATTGGCCCCACTTGGACACTCTCCTTCGGCAGGCCAGGCCTGAGAGTGGTTTTGCTTGGGGACCCCAGCGTGGGATGGACCCCCCCCCTCAAATGGCTCATTTGATTGTCTGATTGTTGTCGCCGGGGGGGGGTAGTCCTGCTTTTGATTGCTTGTTATATTGGATTTTTATCTCTGTAATCTACCAAGCGTCCCTGATGCTGAGTTGGGAAGCCATTAATTGTTCTCAAATAAATAAATAAGAGTTAGATCCTGGAGCTTCTGGAGAACCTCTGGAGCCTGATCCCTCCTGACAGTCCTGTCTCCCTCCTTGTTCCTCCAGCAAGCCATCGAAGACAAGAAAGGAATCTCCGGGTACAGCTACACCCAGGAGGAGCTGGAGAGGGTGTCGGCCGTCAAGAGCGAAATGGATGAAATGAAGGGCCGGACTCTGGACAACATGTCCGATATGGTACAGTCCAGAGGCTTTACAAGGGGCGGGGGAGAAGGAGCTGGCCTAACCCTCCCCACCCTCTCCCCACCCTTACAAGAGCCCTGGTGGCGCAGCGGTTAGAACACAGTACTGCAGGCTCACTCAGCCGACTGCCAGGAGTTCGATCCTGACCGGCTCGAGGTTGACTCAGCCTTCCCTCCTTCTGAGGTCGGTAAAATGAGGACCCAGATTATTTGGGGCAATAGGCTGACTCTGTAAACCGCTCAGAGAGGGCTGTAAAGCATGGTGAAGCGGTATATACCGGTAAGTCTAAGGGCTATTGCTACACCCAGAATGTTGCAAACTGGCTTCCTTCTAAATGTGGTAAGTCCTTCCTAGTCTACTTCAGCTTCCCTTGAGCAGGTTCACTCCTTTCCATCAGGTGAAAAAACTGAACACTATGGTAGCCGATAAAAAGTCGAGCTTGGCCCCAATCATCAAAGACCTCAGGCAGCTGCGACAGAGGTGCCAGGTGAGTTGCAGCCAATGCTCGGGACGAGGCTGGAACTTCCCCCCTTTCTTCCCATAGTGCACTGGGTTGCTTTCAGGAAAGGGGGGGGGCTCAGAAATACGAACTGAGGTCTAGCCTTCCCAATTTTGCTTCAAATGCAGCTCAGTCAAAAACCTCCCTGTTGCACTACGAGCACCTTAGGGAATTCCCCCATCACGGCCTTAAGCGCGTTGGGTGGCAGTCTGCTCTAGCAGGCACCAAGGAAGCTAGGAGCCTTTAGGCTTCTCCCACACAGCAAGGCTCACGGGCCTCTTGGAATTAGGTAGGTGCCTCTGTGCAGCAATTGCTGAGGTCAGACTGCAAGACCGAGCAACAGGCCACCTGCCAGGGCCCACCTGTTGTATCCACACACCTTTTCTCCTCTCCAGGAGTTAACCCAGGAATGTGAAGAGAAGAAATCCCAGTACGACAGCTGTGCCGCTGGTTTGGAGAGCAAGCGCTCATCCCTGGAGCAGGTAGGCAAGCAGGAGAGAGAGGGAGAATTCCTCTCCATCTTGCCCCCCCTCTCCCCCCAAAAAACATAACAGGGGTTGGATTTGTACTAAGGGATGTTCAGGTTTGGAGTTGAGCCAAAGAGATTTAATTGATGGAACCCTACATTCCAAAATGGAGCCTCTGCTCAGAGTTGTGACTGTAAGATAAAATAGTGACATCTGATCCATGCGTAGACCAATTAAATCTCCCAGCCACAGTTTGAAGTTTGGTTTTGTCCTCTTTGGACAAAAAGAGAAGTAGAATATTTTAGGAGTGAGAAGCTCACATCCTTCCGTTATTGTTGGTCTCCAAATCAGTCAAGGATGATGGAAGCGTTGGTCCAAGGGCATCTGGGGTGGGGGAGGCTTCCAGGAACCTTGCCTTTCACCTCCACCACGATCTGGCCTGCAGCTTGTGCTCCAGACGGCTGACCCTCTCCCTTCTTCAAAGTGTCCCTTTTCTCCTATCAGGAGGTGAAAAGCCTTCGGGAGGAGTGTTTACGGGAAGAGAGCAACTATCACCAGGTCAACTGCATGAAAATGGTACGCCGGTGAAAGAAACTCGGATTTTGTCCGGGCAGGAAGGAGGGCAGGTTGAGGCCTAAATCCAGATGTTTCTTTTTAGATTCTCGAAACCCAGCTGCAGCGCGTCAAAGACGAGGTGAAAATGTATGTTTCTTCAGATCAACAGGAAAGAAAGAAGGCTGTCAGGTAGCTGGCATCGCTGTTAAATCCATAATAATGACATCATTGGCATTCCCCAAATCCCGATCGGTCAGTTGCAAAAAACAGCTTGACTCAGAACAGTTTGTGCCCTGTAATGATATTTTTGACGTCATCAAATAACTGCCTCTCCCAGCTCCCTGGGAAGGACAAGATAGGTGAATCAAAATGCCACATCCAGTGCGAACGTCTGGCTGAGTGTGTGGCACACCGTAAAAGCAGTGGGTTGGTGTCATGTCATCGCAGGACACGCTTTGTCACGCACGCATGGCGTGGGGACGCCCGTGGCCTCCCAGAGAAATATCGGCCGCAAAATACCGCTTGCGTCACTTGGCTACTTCCTAGAGCTCTCCGTTTATGGTGCTTAAATAGAAGGGCAGCCAGGGACAAGGAGCAGATTACATCTCCAAATATTTGCAGTGGATTTATTATCTGTCTGAAGGAAGGAGAAGAAGCTGAGATGGAGGAGGAGGAGGAACCGGCTGGGCAAGAGGACAGCGAATGAATTCCGAGGAGCTCCTGTGTGTGTGTGTCAGCTTAGTGGTTGTGTGTTTTGTTTTGTTTAGGATTTGGCTTGGCGTGTGGCATTCTTGAGACACATCTGCTTAGCAGTCTTAGGCACTTTAGAACAACGTTTCTCAACCTGGGCCACTTGAAGATGTGTGGACTTCAACTCCCAGAATCCCCCAGCTGGCATAGCACAGAATTCTGGGAGTGGAAATCCACACACCTTCAAGTGGCTCAGGTGGACAAACACTGCTTTAGAGGGATTGCTTTGTAGATTTTGGTTTAAAAAAAAAAAAAAACTTTGTTGGGGTACCTAAGGATAACCTTCTAAGTTCTTGGAGCAAGTAAGAGTCAGGAGGAAGAGGCAGAACTTGTTGATGGAAGTCCAAACTGACCATGTTGCTCCTCAGCCTCCTCACCTGGCCCGGTTCCACCCAGAGAATGGAAAGTCGGAGAAGCACTCGCCCATCGCAAGGGGAAAGCCTCCGTGTTTCACATACTTGCCGTGTCCAGCTGTAGCATTCCTGCATTTCTGTGAAATTTACCACCCCATTAACGAAGGCTATCCTATTAGGGCTGAGCGTGTGAGCCCAAAAATTCCCAAACCATCCGACTTCTCTTCGTCAGAGGGCTTGGACAAGCCAACAACCTGTGCAGCCCAGCAAATGACTTTCTCAAAATCCTTCGGTAAGCCCTGGAATGGAAGCTGCATTCCGACAACCCATAAACATCGGCCCTGCAGTTGGGAACCAGAAGTTCCCTCGTTCTCCTGATCCCTTCCCCATCTCTGTTCCATGGAGTCAGCCGTCAGGAATGCAAAAAGTTAATTTGACTCTCTAAAAATAGCCCTTCACTTTTAAAATTAAGTGGCATTCCTTCCAAGCATCATTTAAATAGCCCAGGAAAAGAAAATAATCTGGTTTCAGGAACCGGGTCTTTTTCCGAAAAGCAGAAAAACAAACAGATCTGTGAATCCTTGGAGAGATCAGAAGGTCATGGTCTTGAAGGTGAGGACCCTCCTGTTGCCAACAGAAGCAAAGAGAAGACCCCGACCTCTGAGTGGAAAATATGATCCTGACGCAAATCTCGTGCCGTGGGACACGAGTGGGGATGGCCTGGAACGTGAGAATAGAGTGAAGGTCTGCATGTCTTGGTAGTAGAAGGGAAAGAAAAAGGGTCCAGATCTGGAGTTTAGTCTAGAAAAAAAATATATTAGAGGCAGCCGATTTCGATTATCGCGCTATATTCCAAAACGGGCGGGCTCTCCGTAATTCCAAAGACCGTATTGTTGTTAGCCCGTAAGCTGTCCTGTCTATAACCTGCCTGAAGGAACTCTTGCCAAACAACACAGCCAAAGTGCTGGCAACAGCCTAAAATTGCGATACGACTCTTGTCCTTAAATTGCTTATTTTCCGTAGGGATCAGTATTCCAAGATGATCACAGAACAGGACAACCTTGGAAAGGTAGGAGTGGACGAACAATTCTGTTTTGTTTCCTCTGTTTAGACCAGGGGTGTTCAACTTTGGCCACTTTAGGATGTGTGGACTTCAACTCCCAGAATTCCCCAGCCAGCCACAGGGGGAATTGAAGTCCACAAGTCTTATGGTGCCCATGGTTGGACATCCCTATTTTATACAGTGCCTAGTGGGCACAGCTCCTAAAAACCATTCATTTTTAGACTCTGAGAAATTGCCTTCTTAAAATAAACTATACAGTCCTGAAATCAGCTTCCTACAGATAATGCCTGAGCTACTGGACTATCGCTTACAAAAGGCCTCTTCTGCAGAAACCTCAGAAAGAAGAAGACATTGCTTTGCCAGATCAGTGGCCCACACAGCAGTTGGCTTCAGATAAACCCAGTATTTAGTGGCGCGCTGTCCTATTTTTACCAAAAGGGACCTACAATCCATTTTCTATCCCTCTGTTGGCAATTGGCTTTGGAGCAGTATGCAGAAAGAACTAATTTTTCAAAAGAACTGTCTTTGATGTTCTTATAAACCGGTCTTGTTGCTCTTCCCAAGGAGACCCGTCTTGTAACTTTAAGACAGTCTCAAATTTCCAAAATGGGATTTTAATCCGCTGCGCAGTCTTGAGCTGAGGCATTATCTAAACGTTTTCTGATGTTGTTTAATGCAATCGTATAAACATTTTAAAAATGATAAACAAGAAACGAAAGCCAAAAAGAAAACGGAATGAAGGTATTTGGAAGCCCTTATATACTTTAAAACTCTATTTTGGCTCTGGAGTTGGTTAGTTGAGGGATTGCTTTCTCTTTCTCTTCTTCTTCTGCCTTCCAACTATACACTGAATTATATCATTGAATCTATCTATCTATCTATCTATCTATCTATCTATCATCTATCTATCTATCTATCTATCTATCTATCTATCTATCTATCTATCTAATCTATCTAATCTATCTAATCTATCTATCTAATCTATCTAATCTATCTATCTATCTATCTATCTATCTATCTATCTATCTATCTATCTATCTATCTATCTATCTATACGCCTGCCCATCCATCCATCCACCTCTAGAGAAAGTACTAAAATATAGCACTGAGTTTTATATGCATTTGTAGTAGTATTTCATTTCATTTTGAACCAAAATAGTTGGCTCAATGGAGGCACACGGGGACAGTAAGTAAATAAACCAACGGATCAGGATTCCTCCTGAAACAGCATCTCTCTCTCTCTCTCTCTCTCTTTTTTTTTTTTTTAATATCAGAAACTACGAGAGAAGCAGAAAGCTGTCCGGGAAAGTCACGGCCCCAACCTGAAACAAGTCAAAATGTGGCGAGATCTCCAGCTTCTGATGGAGTGCAAAAAAGAATGTTTTCTCAAGCAACAGAACCCGGCCTCGGTGGGCCAAGTCATCCAGGAAGGCGGAGAAGACCGCCTGGTCTTGTGAAAGATACCCTGCCTGGTATCTACGTCATCCCAAAGAGCCACGCTTCCTCCAGCGAGTCTGTTGCAAATGTTGGCTGGGGTTTACGAGTGTTTCGATGCAGATGAGATGTCTAATTTGCCATGCTTCGGGAGTTTAGCTAAAAAGTTCTTGACTCAACTAGAACATGGTTCGGGGTGGGGGCTTCATTTGTTCCTTCTTAGAAGGAGAAGAAAAATCTCTTATTCTGCTGATGGATGGAGCATCCTTCCTTCTCTTACTTCAGGGGCAGGCAACCTTGGCTCTTTTATGACTCGTGGACTTCAACTCCCAGAATTCCTGAGCCAGCATAGCTGGCTCAGGAATTCTGGGAGTTGAAGTCCACGAGTCAAAAGAGCCAAGGTTGCCTACCCCTGCCTTAGTTAAAAATCAGTTGAGTGGTTAAAGTATTGAAAAGGTACGCAGATAAAATTCCATTCAAGTTTTAAGAGGCATTCCAGAGAAGCAGACAGACAAAAAAAAAATCAGGATTAGGATAGTTTTGACATCTGGGGTTAGTAGATGATTTGATATGAAGCCAGGTTCAAGTCACACAGGTCCTCACCAACTCGGGAGCATAATTTTCACCACCTGGCTTCCTTTTGGCCCAAAATAGTGGGACCACTTTACTTCTTAAATCCCCTTTCACAATTCCAGTAACCAAGTGGAGGAAGGACTTTTGAATTTTTGAAGGAAAAAAAAATGCATGCGCAAAATACAAGGACATTGTGGACCAAGCTTCTCGTAGCCCACAAATAGGTAAACCCCGATGACCTTTGCGGGCCTGGATTCTCCTCAGAGCAAAATGCAGAAGACTCAATTTATTTAATTCTCCTGGATCCAAACTAAAGCTTCAGCACTGAAGAATCTGAAATTCTTCTGCCTTTTCTCATTTTTGCTTGGCCCTTAGCGAGCAGACTTTGAAGCCTTTATTTTTGTGTTGATTTTTTTTTAAAGATTCCCCTCTTGGGCTTATTACGTGGGTGAGATTGCTGACTTCCTTGTGACATTCTGCATGCGTGCCCTGTCTCTTTTCAAACTGGCTGGCCCTTGTTTCTCCTTAGCCTCAAAGACAATAAAGTTATTGGCGGCGTGACTCTCTTTCCAAGCTGTCTCTGGGAGTTCATTAAATCTAATCTCTGCTCCGGGGAAACCAAACATTTTGTTTTCTGCCTAGAACTCATCAAAACTGGTCTTGCTGAGCAACGCAGATGAATCATATAATGTCCACTTGCATTTTTTTTAGATGCCCCGTTGAAGGAAGAAAAATGGAAGAGGTTGTGCTTAAATAAATGTAACGTGAAAAGCAGCCTTCAGGGACTGGATTCAGATCTCGCCTGTGCTAAGCATCACGCTCAGGACTGGGCAAATGGTATCCTCCAACCTTAATGCCCTCTTCTGGGAAGCATTGCTGTGAGTGAGCGAACGCAAGTCTAGAGGCAGTAATTAATGCTGTACATTGCAGAAGCCCAGAAGCAAAACCAGCATAAGCCACTACGGGAGGGTTAACCTCATTTTAGGAAACGTCGGTGATCGTAGAATCCCGAGCCTCTATTTGGGTGTCTTTTGTCCCTTGCTTTTCACAAATGGAGCAACCATCAAACACTGCAGGAGGCTTTTTTTTTTTTTTTTTTTTT